GATCCAATGGACGGCTGACCACTTTCACTCCAAAATGGCGGAATCCGGGGCTGTTGCTGGCTGCTGCTGTTGCAATGGAACGTTCTATTGAGTGTCGCCTCTTGGTCATTCTAAGCTCTTTGTCATAACTTCTCAAGCGTTGGTCCAAAATTCATAAAATTCAAAACATCCCTTTACATCTAGCGGAGCATGTTGAGTCGAATGATGTCTGATATTCCCAGGTCAGTCATTTTGGCTGTCTGCTATTTTGAATTGTCAAAAATTGCTATATTTAACGGACGCATTGGGAAATAATGAAAGTCGTACCTGAAGTGCTCAAAATGGTTTTATCCGCACGTTATAACGATATTTCTAAAAATGCTAATAACTTTTGACTAATTTTGCCTATTATTATGAAACTTGTCTTGATACATTCCTTGGGTTGTCCTGAAAATGCCGATACCAGTTAACATTATACCTCAGTTAACTGAACTTCCTGTCTGCCAAAATTTTTTAAATGGCTTTTCAATAGTTTTGTCTGTTGTCATGAGACTCTTGCAGATTCGTTGTATCATTGAGATGTGATCATTGATATAATTTATTCCCTAATTGGCACAACTTCCTTTCCACCATCTTGAATTGGTTTGAAAATCTGTTGTTTTGAACTCTTCATAGCCATCATTAGCCCAATTTCCACCAAATTTGGCACAGAACATTCTGCCAAAAAGTGAAAGAATTTTCCAGTTGCTCTGTAGCTTGTTGGGGTGCTTGTTTATGATGTGGCTGCTGGGCTGCTTCGCCCCAATAATTGCTGCGTGCAGCTATATTTTTCTGTGATGCCGTCACTAATGGGTGTCTTTGTTAGCAGAGATTATTTTGTGTAAGTATTAAAAGTAACTGCAAAGACATAATTTCAAATAAATGTGCTTTTTGACTATGTTAATCAAAATATCTATTATGGTTTTCACAAAACTCCAGTACAGCTGTTTTTACCATTTATGGCAAATGTTTCTAACCATATAATGCATTACATTTCATTAAAAATCATACTCAAGGGATTATTTTGAAGATTTGTTGAATAAATATGGAATTAAGTTATTTTCAGCCCGTGTTCTGTCAATTTGTCCTACCTTGTCAGATTGTCCTACCTCTCATTCAAAAAGCAAGTAACACATTTTGATGAAGCAATATGCTACCCATCAGATTTTGCTACCAGTGTCAATTTTAATGTGAAGTAGTGTGATATGAAGCTGTAATATCGCCCTAGCCTACCTAATCCCTAACCCCAATCTCAGAACCATTCAAATACAGTGTTGGTAGCATAATCTGATGGGATAAAAAATGTCAGGACACCGGTCAGAATCAACTCCTTTAGAAGATTCTTTTTTTCCATGCTGATTATATATAAATGTAACTTCCGTCTGCATATTTTGCATATTGATTTATTGTTAGCAGGGTTATTTTCCAAACTATTTACTTGTGACTCAAACAGTTGCATATGACTATTATCCAAATGAGAGACTGTATGCAATATAAAATCGTGTCAGATTTTGCTGGTCTTCTCTCTGTCAGCCATCAGATGTTATGCCAGATGCTAGGCTTTTTGTGTGAGGCAGGATTACATGTGAGACTAGATGCACATGCACACTGGAGAGTGGATTACTGGAATATCTATAAGAGCAGAAAGGTCACAGGGAGCACAGAAAGCGTCCTTGTTGATGAGTAAGCAAAGGCCTGTAGCTTCAGTTTGCTTAATGCAAATGAGCAGACACATTCAAACGGTCTCGTTTTGAACGCTTGACCTAGTTTTGGTAAACATTCATAAAACCGATGCATACGCAGATATAGCAGCCAGTAGCTTATGTTGTTGGTGTGAATTAGACAACCACAACAGTTCCTGTGAATATTACCCTCATGTCTGGCTGTGTGTTTGTGTGTGTGTGTGTGTGTGTGTTTATAGTTTCATTTCACAAGAACTTGGCAATGTTCTTTCTCATTTTCTTGGCATGCCTTGGCTAACAGGAAAACTGCCATTTAGTAGTATAAGATGGCATATTATTGATTCTAACTGTATATCATTGGCGCTTTGCATTTTAAAGCTGAATTTGTTTAGTCAAGCCATAAGAAATTAAGCTGTATTACTTTTACACTCCACAAGGTGGCATGATAAATTAGCTTAAAGTCCTGGTAAATTTTACTTGCTGTGCTCTACTTTTAAAATATATACTATTGATAATAGTTTAAGGTTAACAATTTCTTCTCCTGTTAAGAAAAGAACTGGCTGTGCTCTTTATTAGATTAAGTCTTAAGTCTTTATTCTATTTTATGCTTCTTTTAACCACATTCTCATGCTTATCAGCATGCTTATCAGTCAATCTCTTTGCAGACAAGAGCAGGCATACCATACTACGTACAGTTTAAGGAAATATCAAGCAGGTGTTTTCGTGACTAAGAAACCACATGAGATTTATTGAAGGATATGCGTACATTGTTTTAAACCACAGTTTGCCAACATAAAGGATGTATTCCTATGAGTTGAATGGATTATTTTAATATAAATTCTAAAGATGCTTTTAGGTTAACCTTTAGGTTAGGTTAACTTTTATTTATGTTATGTTACGCAGCAGTTATGTTTTGTATATTTATCTGTTTGTCAGATTTTCAACCTGTATGTCTAACCACCTGATTACCATTCTACCTACCTGTTTATTAGAGATGTGGCAATATAATTTAAGCTTAGCTTTTAAGAGTACATGCTACTCTAGTCAAATGTTTAAATGCACACTAAAATGCCCATGATTTAGTCATTGAAGTTGGCTTTTTTGTCACAAAATAAATGTATACACAGCTCACTATGAACACTCTTGTAATTTGCTTTAAATCATAGGTCTCAAACTTGAATTCTGGAGGGCTGCATCTCTGTTTTGCTCCAACCCTAATCAAATACCGCTGATCAAACTAATCAAGGTGTTCAAGACTACTAGAGACTTAAAGAAGGTGTGAGTTGGAGGTAGTTGGCCCTCCAGGATTTGAGTTTGAGACCATTGCTTTGAACTTTGTGAAGTTTCACAAACTAATTTCGAGAGGAGCACATGATATGATTGATCGTGGCTGGTTGCCCATCTGTAATCATTAGTAAACCAATCGGATTAATCTAAACTCACTATAAATAGCCTGTCTAGTATTACTCCCTTATCTTCGTATTTTGAAGAATCCCCCATCCACCCCATCTTTGCCTTTTCCTTCTTTACAAGGGGGAGCTCTCAAGAACTACCTGATCTCGTACCTAGTGGCGGTTCTAGCCCAGAATAATTGGGGGGCCTGGGCAGAGACATTTGCTAACGTAAAACTATGTACACTCAATGTCTGATTAATAATAGCCTATGCATAGCTGAGGACTTCATATATTACAAGTTTTAAACTCTCTCTTGGAAATAAAAGTCTAATATAATCAACAGTGGACATTTTGATAGTTTTTCACTACATGAACATGACTTAAGTTGAATTTTTTTATTACTTGTGTCAATTTGGGACTTAACTTCTGATAAATGTGTGATGTGTGCAGCACCGTCACTGACAAAAGTCAAGGGAAAGCAGAGAGAGCGAGTGTGCACGACACCAAGAGTGCGCGAGTGAGAGAGGCCTCAGTCATATCTCCACACTCCACCGATCTCGCTTCTTCTTGGCGTTTTTGTTGTGACACAAAATATGTGTTTAAATTTGGGGGGGCCAAGCTTATTGACACTGGAGTACCACCGAGCTCAGGGCTCTGTCCCGGGACAGCATGCAAAACCTTCTATTATTATCAAGCATTATCAGCTTCATAAAGCATCCTCAAAACCGATCATAGGACTTCAGTGATTCAATCAAAATATTATCAAATTACAAGAATGCTATTGTGCATGCACAGCAAAAAATAACTAATTTATTTAAAAGTATTGTCTCTGCACTTATGTGTGCCATGCTTGGTCGCACTGCGGACATATACCTTAGATGGCCTATGCTTTGTTTTAAACAAAGGAAGTCATACAGTGCTCAGCATATATGAGTAGACCCCCCCACAAATCTCTCATTTAAATTAATATTTTTAATAAAAAGCTTTACAATATTACATTTGTGCATATACATTAGATTAATCAGTACCTAGGCCAAATCTGGAGCTTAACTAACAAAATAACTTACCATAACGGTCCAAAAATTAGTAGCTCAAATGTATATGTCAGGAAAAAACATTAAATACAAATTTTCAAAAATAGCTTAATTCAAAAGAAACATAAGATATATACTATTTTGTTGAAATTTGGAAAAAATAAAATTGAAATATTTAGCTACAATTTAATTTTATTATCTTTCAGTTTCTAAAGCTGTTCTGTGACCAAAATATTATTATAGTAAATATTTTTAAGTAAAATTTTTTTTGTTTGAATGCACCAAAATATATTACCCATATTCACTGAGAAATGAATAAAAATACCCATTTTCAAAATGAAGTGTACTCGTATATGCTGAGCACTGTACATCAGAGGACAGTACTTCTGCATGCATGCCCTATACTGACATTGAAGAGAAGAGTCATTATTCATTATCAAGTCATTTTTTTTGTTTTATGTGTAGTCTTGCAGCTTCAAAATATTCCGATTGAGCCACTGAGGCCACGTAGACCATTTTGACTGTTTTTTGACTTTCCAGACATTTAACAAGTTGGGACCATTGCTGTCTATGAAGGATGAGAGAGCTCTCTGATTTTAACCAAAATATTTTAACTTGTATTAAGAGGATGAACAAATGTCTCTGGGTTTGGAACGACATGAATGAGAGTAATTATTGACAGAATTTCTTTTTGGTGAACTATCCTTTTAAGGATTATTTTAGGTTTGAGTGGTGTGTGGGGACTATAGCTGTTTGTAAATTATACAGTACCATATGTTGGTAAAAACTAAAGTAATTTTTTTTCTCTTTTATATCGATCTATCTGTCTGTCTGTTTGAAGCAGCTGATTGCTATTTCTCTGCATGTTGTAGGGCACAGTGTTCAGCCTGGATGAAGCGGAGGATCCTGGCGTGATCATAGCCGAGGACAGTAACGACATCTACATCCTGTCAGGTGAACAGGCCTCAGATCAGCTCAGCCCTCCTGCTTCACTGCTGACTCTCGGAGACAGTAGTGAACCAGCTTCCTGGCAGACGGAGAGTCTTCCTGTGTCTCTGACGGGACACGAGTCTTGGGCGCAGGTCAGCATGATGGACCCAGAAGACGTCAAGAGTCTGGACAGCGCTGAAGGAGTGGCGTTGGCTGAGGAGCAGAGCGAGAACAACTCCTCGAACTCTGACATAGTGCATGTGGAGCGTGAAGATGCTGAGCTGCTGGAAGAAGCTGGAGAGACGGTGGAGGAAGGAGAGCTGCAGAGTAGCGTACTCAGTGTTCTGGGCAGTGAGAGCGAACTCGCTGCTGTCCGAGAACAAGAGTCTGCTGCACCTGAGCTGCTTGCAGAACCAGTGGTGATGGAGATCCCTCCCCCTCCTTCTCCTCCTCCTCCTCCTCCTTCAGCATTGGCAGAGCAAGAGCTCCCGCCTGTCCATGCTGCTGTTACAGCCTCAATCCCTGTGCCTGAGCCTGAACTTCAGTCTCAGCCTGTTCCAGCTCCTGTGGAGCCACCTCCATCATCCCCACCTGAACCCGAAGCAACCCTGGAGCAAGAGATTCTTTCAGAGGTTGAGCTGAAGACCTCCTCCCGATCTCCAGACCTCCCAATCCCAAGTCCTGCGGAGGTGCAGACCACGTCAGTGCCACAAGCCGAGTCCGCCGAGCTCCCCGTGCTGCTATATGGCGGTGCTGCCCTGGTGGCCGTCGCTGCAGTGTTGGCCTTCGGAGCTCTAGCCTACAGGAAGAAGTAGAAAGTCCTTGACTGTCCATGACCTCGCTGTATCTCTTGCCCTGTGGTTAACGTGCTGCCACAAGCTGCACTTTATGGGAAAATAAGTACTCCTCTTATTTGTGTCATACTAGTTTGTTTTCCGTTCTCATTGCTTTTATTCTTAGGCGTAGTTCTGGAAACCAGCTTTATGGCTGGACGGGAACTTGCAGGTGCAGATTCAGGTTTCTTTCATGCTGTATTTGTGAACATTGGAGTGACCCGTTTCATGGGCTGCGACTGAGGTTTTGCCTGGATCCTTAATATTAACTAAAGAAACATCAAGGCTTCTGAATTATAAAAAAACAAAGGGATAGATCACCCAAAACACAAAATGAGCTGTTAGTTTATTCACCTGCAGGACATTCAGGTTATAGCTGATTTTTTTTGTTCTTTAGTTGATCATTAGAGAAAGTTTTTAGCAGAAACTAGTTCTTGGTTCTTCATAATACACAAGTCAATGCTACTAGCACTTTAGCAGTCTAAAAAACATGACATTCACTGGCAAAATAAAATTAATACTTGCAGCTCCTGATGATACATTGAGGTATTATGAAGCAAAACAATCTATCTTTGCAAAATACCTTTAATCCACAGGCTCAGCAGACAGGTCCATTCACAATATATGATATTGTACAAGCTCATGTGACTCATGAACACTCAGATCTGTCTGCTGACGATTAAAGTAATCGTAGTGAAATAATATTCCATTTCTCACACAGAACAATCATGACGTTTGTTATTTGTTCATACTATTTATTTAAAAAATAAAAACATTTTTTGGGGACAACTTAATTTTTTAAGTTCAATCGACTTACATTTGTAAAAACTAATAAGCTAACTTAATTCCTTTGTTTTCTCAACACAAATAGAATGTGTGGAACCCAAGATTTTGTTTACAGTCTTTATCTTCAGAAGCCACTGGTATTCATTTGTTTTGCCTGAATATGCTTGGTTTTTTTTTTGTCTTAAAGTGTTGTAGCTGCTGCATATTATCAATCACCACGAACAGTTTCAGCTCAAAATCGATTTCAGTATTCTGTATTGTAACCTGAGGGTGAATAAATTCTATTTGTTTTATGTTTGGGGAACTATCTCTTATGTTTTTTATGAGTGAACTGTATGTAATTTGATTTAATGAAATATTGTTTGGTTTTACACTAGTTTGGGTTTGTGCATAATTGATTATTTAAAAAAATAATAATTAATTAACATAGTTTTTATTTTACATTCTTATGTGATACAAGAGATGTTTTAGCACAATGCTTTCTTGGTGTGTGACACAATCCTCTTACTCCACCCTTTTATCCAACAGTCAATCACATTACATCATTAGTTAGACGGCCACTCAATAATTAAATCTCATTTTCATTTCAATATACTGTAATTAACCACACAAGAAATATTTTCCTTCACCTTTAAAAACTCTCTCTATTGCACTGGAAAAATAACATATTCACCATCATCAGTCACTTGAAGAGTTTAGTTGCGAAACCCTCTAAATGCCATCTGAAAATTTTCCCTAAAATTAGCATTTTTATCAGGCTCATTTGTGTATGTTCAGTAATGTCACTTTTATGGTAAAGATTTCTCAACATAAACAAAGGAGGCTGCGAAAAAGGTTTTATTTTCGATGGAAATTTCAGACGGCACTTCAAGGTTTTTGCATCTAAGCTCTTCGCTCATTCGTATCTACGTCAGTGCAATGCATAGATGTATATATATCTATGAGTGCAATGAAATTTCGACACTCCAAAACATTAAAAACACATTTTCATCTCATTAGTTGTATCATTAGATACTCAAAATCCATGATTTACAATATTATAGCTAAAAACCATTTAGCCAAAAACACAGAAAGGTCCAATTCCTCATTCATTCCTCCTGGTGTGAGTGATTTTAATTTCTGAATCCAGAACGCTTCTCTAGTTGTTTAAAGTCAGGTCTGTTTTGTATCACCTAAGAATGTAAAATAAAAACTATACAAAGTAATTATTTAATGAGTGCGATAACCTTCTGAATAATATTATTGACAAGATTACACACCGAAAAAATGAAAAAAGAAAAAAAAACTGCGAGTGAGCAGTGAAATTTAATTTCTGAATATTTTACCTCAGAAACTAAATATTGAGGTGCAGAACTTTACAGGCCAGAATCAGATGGATTGCATAAGTGATATTCATCTTACTAAATCAGTATTTCTACAGTCAAAATTAAAGTCTCAACGCAATATTAATTGCTTAATAAACCGTCTGTTATTCATATTAACAATATTTACTGTAAAAATAGAACAAGTTGCTTATATGAATGCTTTTGTTTGAATTCCCCTTTTTAAAAAGACTAAAAAGGAAGCCTGGGTCACAGCCTGTCGGAAAACCCCATCTCTATTAATATGTTCAAGGGATTGTCGATGCTAATTGTACAGAAATCTGCTATAATGTGAACATTTATCCTGTTGAGGTTGAAAAACTTTTTATTTTTTAGCATTCTTGTAAAGAAATCAATATTACACCAGCACAATCAACAGAGCACATGACCGAATTTATCTCGGCATCAGGAATCAGAACATCACACTAGACAGGAGAAAGTCATATTTAGTTTTCTAATATGATATTTCTAAGCGAGCGTTTTCTAATTCTGGGTCGATAGTCGTTTCAATAAAGTGACAATATTATAAAACATGAAATGGTTGGGTTTTAAACCTGCACGTTTTCCGGAACAACCGAATGGGTTTTGTAATTTTTAGAATAGAAAATGATTTGCTGTGTTAGAAAATATGAATCTGTCTTTTCCAATCAAGTGCTGACTTCAGGTTTGGGGGACCAGAATGTCTCTTCAATGTCTTCTGAGCTACAGATGAGTCATTTAGTTCTCTTTGTCCCCTAACATAAAGTATTGTCGATCTTCAGCCTCTTACCATGTGCTGTTGTTTGTCTCTGTACAGCACAGCCTTGCCACTCTGCTTTCCCCTGTTGTGTGCCTATCCAAAAAAAAAAAAACAGGCAGAAGCAGAAGTCACGTCTACAGGCAGGAGACACCTGTGTTGTCAGTGGTTTGCAATCTCACGGCAAAGTGATTTTGTATCAATAGATGGACAAAAGCTGTGAATTAAAACTTTATTCCATCAAGAGTGAAACTGTTGATTTGTGTTTTGATTTAGGTCTGAGTTTTTATGATTAGTTTCTGCTTTTATTAAACTTACAGTGCCGCTTCCTCTTTTAGTATTGATATGACTCATTTGTTTTTGTAAGAGATGAGATGGTTAACCATATGACGCCTTTAATAGCCTCAGTTTTGGTTTGACTTTTGGTTCAATAAACACACAAATAAGAAACACGTGAACAAGAAGATTTAGGAAGATTAAATGAACCTAATAAAACAATTTTGCAGTTTTTATTGGCCATTTTATGTCCCAGGAAGTTTCTGTGCCTGACGATCGGGTTGTCGTCGTCACAATGCACAATGCACTGGCCCCTTACAGCTCCATTGCAGGTGGTGGGGAAAAGGTGGTTTTTCCATATCCAGATTTTAGGAAAGTTCTTACCCCAGGTGAAGATCAAATATCTTGTTTTTTTTTTTACGAGTGAAGGAAGGATGAAGCATGAGATTTACAGGCGGAACGGTGCAGCAGCAGCAATGCGGTCGGTGTATCAGTTCGTTGTGGGAATGAAGTAGCTGAGCCGAAAGGCAACGCTCTCGATTTAGTGGTCAGACTATGTTCCTACTCTCACCTATGGTCATGAGCTTTGGGTCATGACCGAGAGGACAAGATCTCGGATACAATCGGCCGAAACAAGTTCCCTTCGCAGGGCGGCAGAGCGCACCCTTATAGATAGGGTGAGGAGCTCTGTCACCCGGGAGGAGCTCGGAGTAAAGCTGCTGCTCCTCCACATCGGGAGAAGTCAGCTGAGGTGTCTCAGGCATCTGTTTCGGATGCCTCCTGGAAGACTACCTAGGGAGCTGTTCCAGGCATGTCCCACCGGGAGGAGGCCTTGGGGAAGATCCAGGACACGCTGGAGAGACTATGTCTCTTGGCTGGCCTGGGAATAAATCAGGATCCCCCAGAGGAGCTGGAGGAAGTGTCTGTGGAAAGGGAAGTCTGAGGTTCTCTCCTAAGAGAGAACTGCAACCCGGCCCCGGAAAAGTTGATGAAAATGAGTTATGGAAACAATCGTTTCATCTACTCAAAATGTTTGCCGTTGGTTCAAAATACTTCTTTAAAATGAGCTGGAGCAAAACAATTATTGAGTTTTATTTTGGGACTACTTGTTTTATGTACGTTTATTTTCCTTTGGCTTAATCCATTCATTCATCATTGGTATCCACAGTGGAATGAACTGCCAACTTATCCAGCATATGTTTTACACAGCGTATGCCCTTCCAGCTGCAACCCAGTACTGGAAAACATCCATAAACACTCAATCACACATATACACTACGGCCATTTTAGTTCATCCAATTCACCTATATCTCTAAAGAGTGGGGGAAACCAGAGCACCCGGAGGAAACCCACGCAAACACAGGGACAACATTCCAACTCCACACAGAAATGCCAACTGACCCAACCAGGATTCAAACCAGCGACCTGCTAGCCACTATGCCCCCTTGCTTTATGTTCAATCCAATTAAATTTGTAAAAACAAATTAACTTAATTCCTTCATGTTTTCTCAACACAAATATAGTGGAAGTACCCAACATTTATAGTGTGGATGAGAAACTTGTTACTAAATAATAAATGAATTCAATCTTACTGAAAGCAAATTTGTTGTGATGACCTTAAAAAAAAAATTCAATTCTTTTTGTGCATTTTGATCAACTTTTTTTCTAGAATTGTCTTCTTTAACTCTTTAACTGCCTGCTCTATCAAACGGTTGACCATATTTTAACTATCTTAAATAAAGTTTTAAATGATGGTGTACACTACACCGCATTGTTGGTTTACAAAAAATATCACTACTACACTTGATTTTGGTTTTATTGTAAAAAAAAAAAGAAGAAGAAGAAAAGAATGTTAAATGAGAATCTAAAATATTTTGTCATATTTCAAAGTATAAAGATGATTTAGTATTCAAAAAATGTTTAATTTGATTATTTTTAAAATAAACTGCATGGTCTTACACTTCATATTTTCTGATTTTTGTAACATTAATTCATTGAATATACTGGGGTAAAATATATTGCTCATATTATAAGGATATGGCGGGGGAAATGTAATTTAATGCAGTGCTTCTTGTACAATCTGAGACCCACTTTAAATCGGATATCACTCAGCTTGTGGAGATCGCTGATTTTGAAAGAAAACAGACCTTAAACGCACCGGATTTTGCATTGGCATTCAATTCGCCGGAAACGCTTAATTATAAAGGAACCTTATAAGGATAAAGGAACCTTATAAAGTATCTCAGAATATTACACAGCACCAAAAATGTAAAAATATATATTGAATATATTTAATATTTTTTTGTCAACAGCAGACGGCAACTCGCCCTGACGCAGATTCCAGAGTCTCTGTGGTCTAATTAGGACCACTCCTCAGCGCTCGCCATGACAACGAGACAACAGTGACGTGCCTTGTAAAAATTTGCATATGCATTCCTATAAAGCTCGTGTGCTCTCTGTCAGCGTTGTCAGTTCGCCCGGTGTAGCTGCTTGTACTTGACCAAGGTGAGTTCAATACCGACGGTACGAGTGGAGCTACGCCAAACTCACGAAGTCCGCTTCGTGATGCTTCACCCGGGCCCGTCTGTGCTGTAGTTCCTTGCGGTTTGCGTACATAAACGCAATATCGCGAAGAACATTACGTGTTTGTTGCTCGAAATGTGCCGCCGAGCAACATCCAGTGAATACTGGCACGGCCTGGCGCCCGGTCTTTCCGTGCACTCCCTGGGGCGAGGCGGCCTTTGAGCCCTAGGCAGGGAGCAAACAACCCCCGAGGACCCTCAGGGAAACACGGGCGGCCGGTAGTGGGACCTCGCTGCGAGGGTTATGGTGGGTGGGAGTAGCGAGGCCCACTCATCTTCTATTTTAAACTATAGTTTCAAACTTTAGTTTACTATAGTTTGAAATAGAAACCATGGTAACTGTCATGATTAAACCTTTAGCAAAGAGCGTAGAATGACCAAGAGCAACAGACCCGGATTCCGCCATTTTGAAATGATAGCGATCGCTCGTCATTGCTGTCGCGATGGAAAGCAGCTGCTTTGTTTTTATTTAATTTATTCAAAAAGCGCGTTATTGTTTCCCAAATTGTAGAGTGTCGCCTCTTGGTAATTCTATGCTCTTTGCTCCATGTCTGACTGTTGTAATGTTTTGCTTTGTTTTTCAGCTGAGTTGTTGAGCAAAGAAGGACTATTGAAGACAACAGTTGAAGACAACCGCGGGTTATATTCACGAGCGCGCGCATTATAATGTTTCCGGGCTGTTTTCTGAAAGTCTGTCTTGTTTAGATAAGTTTGCATGTCAAACTAAATAAACTATACTCTTTCTAAACACCTGTCTCGTGTTTTTTTTGTCCTCTACAGCAATGCACTGTCATATAAGTCTGTTGAATGCATTTGTATGCAACATGGTTTGACAATACAGAAGTCTAACAAATAGTTGTTATAAATGTACTTTCATTAGTCAACATTTGGTGTTATGGTTGTTTCATAACTATATTTATTATTATTCTGTATGTTTAAAACCAGCAAATTATACTATATATTTAACATGTCACATATACTTACTGTTATTTTAAAATTTGCCAAATAAAATGTCCTAAGACAAGAATGGGTGTTGTTTTGGTTTTATGTCAACCTACTGTAGGTTTTAGGTTGACTGCAGCAGGTATAGGCATTATACACACACACACACACACACACACACAAAGTGCTGCGGTGAAATGTGTTACTCTCTCCTCAATGCTGACCATGCAAAAAAAAAAAAAAAAACACAAACTAATTATTTTAAATGTTAAAGTTTAAAATAATTAAAAACTGTGTCAATTCTCAATAAAAAGTTACAAATAATTATAAAAGCAAAAATAAAGTCGGCAACACCCAAAACCAAAGAATCCAATATTTTATTGTTATAATTATTATTTACTTAAAAAATCTCATGACAACAAACTTTTCTATTGTTTCTAATATAAATTCATAGGTGGAAACACTGCTCTGAAAAATACTTAGCAACAAACTCACAACCTGGGAGCTGACAGTGGAGCTTTTGTGTGTGGATGGCTATGTGTATCATGTTTTTGTGATTCCCTGTGATGATTTCTGTGCACATGTTACCTTACTGAGGCGATGGAATTTAATTTTGGCTTAGTTGCCAGAAAGATACATAAAACTGTTAACATCTGTACATTATGGCAGTATGCAATATACAATAAATGTAAGAAGTTATATGAGGAGAGGCTAACTAGCTAACAATGTAGCTTTCAAGTACACAGTTCAATATAACAACAATATAACTTAAAACACAGCCTTATTTTAGAAACCCTCAAAAACATTTGAACACATTTTACTTACTCATTGTAGATTCTTATTTGAAGCATAAAACATATCAGACTACATCTGAATTGATGGAAAGAGAATAAAGCACACTCAGCAGTAAACAAATCAAACACCTGACTCCCTTAAAGGGCCAGCATTTTCTGAAAACTTTTTCTAACACCTTTGTGTTTAGAATTAGACAGACAGCCTGTGGGAGTGTGGTGATGCCTAAATCATTGTTTTCAGCCTTCAAAATGCACGTCTCTATAATTAGCAACATAAAGCATCAGAGTGGATGGGACAGTAATGGTTGAACAGTAATTTGCTATTTATTGTCAAAGTTACTATCTGTAATGAGTACATAAAATAAATTACTGTAATTTATTCTTTGCAATACACAATTTCATACAAAGTCTACTCCTTTTACAGAAAAATACTGTTTCCTTTTATTACAGCAAAACACTGGCTATTTTACAGTTATTTACTGCACAATCTACAGGGTAACACTGCAGTTATACTAATTAAACACACTTGATCAAACTAAATCTAAAGGTAGTGTGTTGAAGCAGGGCTGGAACTAAATTCTGCTGGGCTGCGGCCCTCCAGGAGTTTGACATCCCTGGTACATAGCATATTCTCAAAGGAACTGCCTACATTTATCACAATCACAATCATATCATTGAATAAAAACAATAAAAATATAAAAACTTCATCCAAAGCAAAAAAATAGATTAATAATAATAATAATAAATAATAATCTGATCCTCATGTTGTTCCAAACCTGTAGTAATAAAAAAGAAATAAAATAAAATGACAAAAAGACTCACTAGTTAACCCTTCACTATCTGTTTTACTATAATACGAGGAGTTCTTTTGACAATGTGAATTTTTATGATAATTAATACTAGAGGATGACATTTAAAATATTGTCTAGCTAGCACATGCCCTTATGTCGTTACAAACTGTTGGGCTTTTCTGTAGCACAAAAGTTGGACTTAAGTTCGCTTCTGGTGTGCGACCGGCTTTACAAAAATGTCCTGTGGTAATCCTGTGGTATTTCAGCAGTACAACATAAATTTACCACACAAAAAATGAGCAAAGCTAAATATGACAGGCTTACTACAGCACTTTCTGCAGTAAAAATTCACAGGAATTTACCATTGGATGAAGTATGTGGTTTCTCTATTGTTTTTGTGTGGTAATACCAACACAGCTAAATATCACAGGATTGCTACAGCAATTTCTGCAGTACAATATCACAAGAATTAGCTTTTTTATTCTGTCTTTTTCTAAAACATTTTTTTTTCTCAGAGCAAGGTAAAATCAGTATGTTCTGCATTTAAGCTGTTTAATTAAGAAATACCTATTCTTACAAAGTAACATCACATGTATTCATATTTATTGTAAAAACTTTTTTAGTGTGCAAATGTTTGTGTACTGGAATAAATTTGCAATTGAAACAACAAGATGACCGACACCCTCCATTACAAACATTACCTGCGGTATTCTATGTGGTAAACCATCAAATGTTATGTGGTAACTGTGTAGTACTTTGTTGTTTTTTGGGACGTTTTACCACAGGATTCTGTGCTGTACAGTATGTAATACTCCTGTAGTATTCTTGTGGTAGTGTATCACTTTCATATTTTGGTAGTATTTACCACAGGATTCTGTTATACAATATGTAATATTCCTGGGATATTCTTGTGGTAGAGTGTGTGGTATTACTGTTATATTCCTGTAATATTTTTGTGGTAGCATGTGGTATTTCATGTGGTAAACCATCAAATGTGCAAAATAAAAATTATGTGATAATTGTGTAGTACTTTGTTGTTTTTTTGGGAGGTTTTACCACAGGATTCTGTGTTGTACAGTATGTAATACTCCTGCAGTATTCTTGTGGTAGTGTGTGGTATCACTTAAACATTTCTGTGGCACCACAGGATTCTGTTGCTTAGTATGTAATACTCCTGTAGTATTCTAGATATATTAGATGTATATAAGTTCCTATTTACAGTTTTTTTGAATTGCTTAAGCACGATTTTCAAAACAGGGCCCGTGTTTTCAAAACAGTACACACAATTAGCACAACCACACACCCAATTAGCAAAACACTACAGATCCTTTGCATAATTAAACACTCTTATAAAAACTATAGACTTCTGTTTAAAAACCACACTTTTTACCATAAGAAACACACATTTTCACATTTACTATACACTGTTTGCACGAGTTACACACTGCTGTGATAAACCTAAAACACTTTTAGCACTTCTGCTTCCCTATGATTAGAGTAGGCTACCATCAACAAAGTACAAATATAAAGTAAATTCACCAAACACTACTCAAGAACAATGTTGCACCTTGAAGAAACTCATTTATTCCTCAACATGTCCAACATGTTGGCATGAAGATTCAAAGTACTGTAACATGTCACTTTACGTATTGAACTGTAAGATAGATCTGGCATGAGAATTATCAATTGCAATGTTGTCCTTAGCAAGACACCTTGGAAAGAAGTGTCTTGAATGTAGAATCTTGTATTGCTGCTACCTCCATCTGGTCACAGGCCTCCTTCATGGCTTGGATGAGGGGTACCTCAGCTTGGAGACGGAGATCATATACTTTCCACCACTATGCAGAGAAAAACTCTTCAATAAGGATGAGGAATGGAGAGTATGGTGGAAGATAAAGGACGGTAAAATGTGGATGTTGCTAAAACCAGTTCTGAACCAGAGCAGAACGGTGGAAAGACACATTGTCCCAGACAACAATGTATTGCGTATGATCGATTTCATTTGCTGCTGTTATGTTGTGCAATTGGTCCAAGAATGTAAGTATATGTGCTGTGTTGTAAGGGCTCATATGGTCATGGCAGTGGAGGACCCATTCTTTGTAATGGCTGCACAGAGTGTTACTGTATATTTCCCCCACGTTGCCCTGGGACATTGACTGTAAGCCCTGTGGCCAATGATGTTTCTTCTACTCCGTTTTCACGTCAGGTTGAACACACCATCATCTACGTAAGCAAACTCATGCTAGATCTCCTCTCCATCCATTCATAAAACTACGTGTAGAACAGTGTCAGGCAAAATTGTGTAGATCTAGTATTACAGTACAGTAAAAGATTATGAGACAGTATGCAAGATCACACTGCTAAAGTGAATACATACCTCTGCATAATCATGCCACAATCTTTTCACCCTTTCGAAATTGTGCTCGAAAGGCACTCCATAAATTTGCTTCATTTGAATATATATATATGTATATATATATATATATATATATATATATATATATATATATATATATATATATATATATATATATATATTTTTTTTTTTATGGTGTGTGACAGTGTTGATATTGAGACCTGATGGTTATCATTGAAACTGGCATTTTATAGTGCTTAAACACCTGATTGGTGTGTCTACAAATAATCAAACAAGTGTTTGCACACTGCTTTGGTATTGCAAGGAAGTGACTTTATGATAGATTTTAGTGTGTAATGTATGTTAAGTGTGTTTAGTGTTTTGCAAATCACTGTGTGTAGAGTTTTGCAACAAGTGTGAAGCTGACAATGTGCTTATAGTTGTGCAAATATGGGCTGATGTTTTGATACGTGTGTGTAAGGTTTTGCTAATAGTGTACTACTTTTAATTTTAGTGTGTAAGCAATCCAAAAAAACTGTAAATAGGGTATATGCCGAGCTAGTGCTGTTTCCATGCTGATACTTCCGGTGACCTGTTATTGTGAACTTTTTTTCCATTTTATACGGTTCCTTATACAGCATCGATGTTGTAATGTCATTAAAATACATTCAGTTAAATAAACTTTTGCATTCATTTAGTTGCTCAAGCGTAAAACGAGACAAAAAGCTGTTTACTCGCACGCGCCCGTCAGAATTGGCAGGCTAACGCAGAAGCTCCATTCCAGTATTTTACTATAAACCGACATATAAACTATTTGGTAGAGGCTGATATTTTAGAAAATATGGGATTTGTTGAAAGAAATGTATTGTGTTAACTAGACATTAGGAGTTGAGAAATGCAATCTAGTTTTTTTTTTTATTATTATTAAAGGGTTAAAGAAATCAAAGTTATGTCTGTGATCCAACTAATTCAAGATTTGATTGTATTTGCTCAAAAAAAAAAAACAGCAGGTCAAAAACAAATGACAACTGCTGCACAAATTTAAGAATCATATAATAATCAAATATTAAATAACATCAACAATAAAAAAACAATCCATTCATTTTACTGATGCAAGTCTTGGAGCTTACGCTGCTATTCTGAACCAATAATCGGAAACAGAAAGCCGTTGAAGGATGGTGTGTTTAAATCCATTATTTATCTGACTCCATTGTAACTGACTCCATTATAGTTGTTTTTCATCACTGATAAAGAGAAAAAATCTCTACGTCTTAAAGCAGGCAAAGTTGTTTATTAAGTTACATGTTTAAATATACAGACATTATAATGGCACAAACTAACATACTGTATTAAGAAATTAGCTGTAACATATGCACTGCTGAGCAACACAGTGAAACTGCCTTTGTTAGCATATGAGGCTACGCACTGGTATGCGGGAGATGCAGAGTAAAAGCCATTCTCCCAGATCAACAGTTACCTTTCCTTATACCCTGAGCAAAGCATTGTCAGACATGAGTGAAAACTAACCCCCAAGACCAGCTGAACGTGAGAGAAAAGTTGAAGAGATAAAGTGGGGGAGAAGAACATTAACATACTCTCCTAAGGTCATGACTCAGCAATAGTAAATATAATGTAGATTGAAATATAATTAATCAATGTCTCTGTTGATTTCATCACTACAACACTGAAAACTGTCATATGACACCAAACATGACAAAATTATCCGAAGGAAGATCACGAGCAGATTGTGTATGGTGAAGAGCACATGGTTACAGTAAGGAAATGGCAGAGATGTGTATAGGAGCTGTGAGGAACTCACCAGGAGGACCCATCCCATGCTTGGAATGTCTCAGGAGTCCTTCATTTAGCATAGAAGGAATAGTATACAATATTTTTTCAGCTTGACCTCCATACAAAAAAGTTGCCAGAGGTTTCAATACAAGTAAAGCCGACAATAAAACACTGAAAATACAGCACAAAAATACTAAGTAACCAAAGCTGAGATGAATAAAGCAGACATGTTTTCTTACATTTATTTATTTATATACACAATGAACAAAAAACCCAATGTCATGGAGAACAACAACAACAAACACAATGAATAACAGCTACAAAATCAAACGTATTCAGTTTTAAAAAGCTGAATTAATTGACATTTGTATTATCAAACCATGTTTGAACGTATCTTTTTTTCTTCAAATCCTTCACTTCTCTAACTGCTCATCAGATTTCATCGGGGATCAGTTGGATCCGAAAAACTGCACCACTGTCCCATAAAGGCCAAACAGAAAATCAGGTGTGCGTTCACAAACAGTCTTCATGAGCATGAACGTGAAGGCCATCTCCACAAGCTCCTTCTTAAACTCTTTGGCTGCTGCCACATGCTGAAGTAACGTCTGCACTCCTTTAGATAGATGACTGGCCCAAACCTGAAAATATGCAAGTGATACTATTTAAATGGAGGAACCATTCGCGTAAAGCCATCAGAAATGCGTACAGTTTAGCAATCTGACAGACCTGTTCTTGGGAAGATCTCAGTTTTTTAGTCAGACTCTCAGCAGCTTGAGACAGAACGCTCTGCTCCAGAAGATCTGCTATTCTGATCAACTCTGCCGCCATTTCTCTCGCAGCTCGAGCCTCTTCTGCATTGACTGAAACAAAAATACACAGCATTCAAAATTTTGTTACTGCTATCATAATACTTCAGTGAATAATCTACTACTGTACTTGGCCTTAGTAAAGAGTCCATCAAATGAACATACAGAAGTAGGTACACACTACTCTTATGGCATACTTTTATTTGGATAATAACTAGTAGGAAACAAATTGAATGCATTAACCATGAAAGAATATATATATATATATATATATATATATATATATATATATATATATATATATATATATATATGTTAACCACAAATGCACCAGCTCCGCGATGCACATCCAAAACCTGACGCATTGGGTTAAATTAGGCTCCATGGTCAGTCCATTACTTCCACTTTGTCTCTACTTCAGGGAACAGAACCAATCCTGTGACGTCAGACAGAGTGGTATTGCAAGATGGTGGCTCCCCAGCATTAAAGGCTAAAGCAGGCCCCTTTAAAAAAATTGGTTACATTAATCGTGTTTGTTCTATATACATTTTCATAAAAGTGGAAATCAATTAAGAAAATATCGTAAACTTGACTGACTGCTTAACTTCCACTAGTCTGTCTGTGCTGCAAAACATTTAAGATTTCGAAACTGCTACTCTTCTGGAACACAGTTTTCATTATTTTTTGGGGGGCAGGGGTGAGGGGGTGGGGACATTAACTAGTATTGAAGAATTCTACTTCGCAGCAAGAAAGGTAATTATAACAACTACCTAAAAGTCCCATGAAGTGCTTTGAAACATGCACTTTTATTCAATGTTTGATGTAATCTTTACTGAAACACGGAGAGGTCGGAACATAGTGTAACTCCTCCTTTAAAAAAAAAAAAAAATTCAACCAAAATGCCACCAGAGTTTTGTTTCATCATCACCGTTCTGCCAGTGAGAGTGGTTAAGTTGAAGCACATCAAAAAAAAGCACATGAGAAGAGACGTATAAAAGAAACGTTGATCCATTTGAGCGAAAGAGACAAACTACAAGCTTTACATGTTTATATTGGTTTTAAATCTTCTAAACAAGAATTTTGTTGCTGTTTTAGGGCTTATGGATAACTTAAAAGCTAACAATACTGATACTAACATGTAAAACACTTTATTTTAATTCCATTGACCCTTTAAAGCTGGGATGTCAAACTCAATTCCTGGAGGGCCGAAGCCCTGCACAGTTTAGTTCCAACCCTGCTCCAACACACTTACCTGTAGGTTTCAAACAAGCCTGAAGGACTCAAATAGTTTGATCAGGTGTGTTTAATTAGGGTTGGAACTAAACTGTGCAGAGCTGCGGCCCTTTTGGAACTGAGTTTGACACCTGTGCTTTAAAGGGTTTGTTCACAAAACATTAAATTTCTGTTATTAATTTAGGCTGATATATACCTCTGCATCAAGCGCACGTGTATGCTCTGGCGCAGCCTGCGCGTGGACGAATAGCCCTCGCCGTTGCGTACCTTTCCAAAAATGTAACTACATGTTGTAACAACACATAACGCAAGAGCTGGTGAACGCGTTGGAGTGAGTGTTTACGATAGAGTCCCAAGAAGGAGGTGGAAAGTTTTGTTTTTATCTTATGATTGAAGTTTTTGCATGTATCCCGGTTCCTGCCTCAAAATTAGCGAGTTTGAGCTACTTCTATATTAAGGTAGCGTTCAGAAAAATTAAAACCCATCAAAGAAACTCGACAAAGGAACTTAAAAACCTACTGCCAGCTAATTTCGGAAGTGTTATTGCAGAGCAACACAAACAGTGCACTGAAGTATAAATGCACAACAACGCATGCGCCACAACGATCACTCGACGCAGAAGCATAAACTTCTTAAGCTTAACTCAACATCATGCTGTTCCAGCCCCATTTCCATCAATCTTTGGACACAAATACAGATATTTTAGACAGAATCTGAGCTCTCTGACTCTTCACAACTGTCAAAACATTCCATGAGAGCTCAAAAACAACTTTATTCGCCAATGCCTTCTCTTCCTCATCAGGTCTGCGCCTACTACGTTGCACAATATATAGCTTTAGCATCGATATCGCAATGTGTGCATCCGCAATAGTAATATCACTGGTTCTCCTATGTCAAGTGTGGCTTACTGTTGACCAGGAGCTTGTAGATTAATGGCGAAGTTAAACTATTGTGGATTTAAAGTTAATTAATTGCATTTGTTTGGTTTTTCTGTTAAACATATCAAGTGAGTTTAAAGCATTCAGGCACAAGAAACCACTTTGCTTTAACAAAAACTAATTACATTTTTGTAGTGAAGTCGTTTTACATTAGATTTTTTGTGTCCAACTCCCATTAAGACTTTTCAATCAAGTTTCCCCCCCTAAAAATCTAGTTCAAAGTTGATTTTAATGATTTATGCAGATGCACTCCACTATAAAACCACCCAAAAAATCCTGAAATAATAAATTCTTCACAAAAAGAAATGTTCAGTCCATTGGTGAAAATATATATCTTATCACAATGTAGCTGTAAAACAAAATATTCCAATGTCTATTTCTTCCAATATTGTGCAGCCCTATTAGAGGCAGGCAATATGAAATATTTGCCATTAGAGTCAGAAGCGCAACACACAAGTATCGTATTGCCTTTAGTAAATGTGCATTCGGAAGTGTTTTTTTTTAAGAGCTCAAAAGTGTTCTTGGAGCTTCATTTGATTACAGTTTAACCACTGAAAACAGCATATTTTTGGTCCCTTTCTGGACCACTGCTGTATATGGAGGGTCAAAGAGCTCTCTGATTTTATCTAAAAATTCCTAATTTGTATAACGAAGATGAACAAAGGTGTCAGATGAGGGACTACTGGATTTTCTGAATCCATACCATTCTTAACATTTGCAAAGTGAGCACTCATTAAGATTTTCATTGATGAGATAAGCCCACAAGCATGACCCTCTGAAAACCCCTCAGTGATGGGTTGAGTTTTGTAAACACATTCCTATGGCTAACTTAAAAACAAAGGAGAGACAACAAGAAATGTCCTTCCTCATAGAACATTCCACTATAAAAGTATACTATCAAAAATATATACTATAGTAAAAAACAAGGTGACTTGTCAGATGTGAGATAAAACCGCTAGTATCAGGTTGAAGTTTCAGTTGACATGCTTGAGGTTGCTTGACATACATAAATGTGGTTATGGTGAATGCCATTACAATTTCAGATTGCTTCTCTTGTTTTCTGTATAAAATTATTAATATATGTAAGATTTTATTAGGGGCAACGCGGTGGCACAGTAGGTAGAGCTGTTTCCTCACAGCAAGAAGATCGCTGGTTCGCCATTTCTGTGTGGAGTTTGCATGTTCTCCCCGTGTGAGTTGTGAGTTTCCTCTGGGTGCTCTGGTTCATCCCCCCCCCCCAAAAAGTTGACATTACTTTAAAAAGTGAGTAAATCCATTGTAACTTAAAACAATTAAACTTACTGAAGTTCATTTTTATAATTATGCACATAATTCATTTACTTAAAAAAGTGAGTAAACTTGTTACCTTAAGTAAATTCAACTAATCACTTTGAAACCAATGGATTTACTCTCTTTAAGTGAAGCAAACTAAGAGCTTTTTACAGTGTATTTATTTGCCTTTTGATTTATAATTTGGTTCAGATAAATTGATATCAAAACTTATGTTTATATACAGTTTATTAGTTTGCAAATATAAAGATATAGGTTTTTGTATAAAACTAAATTTCAATTTTGGTGCGTCCCTGGAAATAATATGCATTAATCCTTTTTTATTGCCAGTATGTGAAGAGCTTGTAACAAAATTTTAAATATTAAACTTCCTTAACCTCCTAGATTAGAATTCAGACATTGAGCGCGCAGGAAATACCTGCTGCTTTTGCACAGTTAAATGAACATTCTAGAAACAGACATGTTCCTGTTGTAATGAAAGAATTTATTAACTCTTTCATGTAAGAGAAAACAAATTACCTGAAAGACCAGGCTGAACTTCATGCTGTAGTTCATGTAAAAGGTCTCTGTAGGTCGCTGGTGGACTTTGTCCGTCGGTTTCTATATCCCCATCACTGTCAATATGATTTGTAGACAGGTTATCTTCACGATAATCAAAGACCCTTCCCGATTCACCATTTTGGCAGTCTTTCTGGTCAAGAAAGGAAAGGAGCACCAGAGATGTATGTGGAATATGGTCAAAGTTCCTGTTGAAGTCCATCGAGCAGGCCTGTACAATGTCTCATACAGGTGCTCTGCAATTAAAAAACAAAAAGCAGCTCGTTTCATTATTATGAAAGATCCAGATAGTGGCTATTTCATTAGGACTGATATTTATTTAATAATTCACAATGGACACAACTGCATACAGTATACAAATGTACATTTTGACTAAACGTTACTCTTATTTACAGTTACTTTCATTGTATTCCACGTATTTAACGTTATACAAGAGTCTATCACACATTCCCTTGGTGGACTAATAACTTTCGTTTTAAAAGCCACAGAAAAACAACACAAGTCCATGGATATCTAACGTTGCAGCAAGCTACAGACGCAAATATTTATTAAACGTAACCCTAAATGTTCGGTTTTGCATAACGACTAACGTTAAAATCTCAACTTTCGGTGCGCTGACCGGAAGGTTAAACTGAAAAACTATGACTTATATTTAACGTTATTATGTACATAAGCGTAAAAATAAATTATATTGTCGCAACATTATATACACAGACCATGCTAACTTAAACACCGGCTAAATAACGTTACCGGTGGTCTAAAGTACTAAGTAAATACTACACTGAATTGTATATCTATTTTTGGAGACAAAGGTTCAAACTTTAATCAATATACCTATCAAATGTACTTTTGAGTAAAATTATAAATATTCGTTACTTACGTAAACTTTGAATACAAACAGGGAAGCATAATCAACACGCAACGCAATAAACAACAAGCCAAGTGCAGCGGGGAGTCTAGTAAAAACTCCCCGCCTTACTACGTGTCACGAATGACGCTGGAGTAGAGGGGCGTGTCCAGGAAGGCCGCTGAATTCCTGTAGTTGTGCAACGGAGAAATGCTGTTAAATGTGTTATTTGGTTCGTTATTTTTATTTTGTTGAATAACAAATAAATAATCGCAGTTGATGAGAATGATTCAAGTCAAACACAAACAGAAAGTCACTGTGTATACGTGATTTTATCCTCGTCTTTTTCAACTTCAGTGCAGAGGGTTGGAGTTCCCCTTCTGTTAGACTGCTCTTGACAGATAAGATTCCTGAGGAAAAGTTGACCAAAAATCGTCTATTGCACTTTGTGCTTGTGTATTTTAGTGGGGAAAACACCAAAGACAGAAAGCACTACACTGCGATCAAATTCACACAGCAAAGGTGGTACATAAGTTTCCACTAAGATAAATAAACAGTCATTACCCTAAACTTGTTTCAAACCCATATTAAGTTTCCCTTCCTGTCCTCAAACAAAAAAAAATATTTTGAAGATGGTTGAAGCCAAGCTAACCCACTTCCATATTTTTTTTTCTTATTTGGATGCAAAAGGCGGTTTCCATGTGTCAAGATTATTTTTTGTTGCTCAAAAGAAAGAAAAATTATAATTAAAGGTTTGGAACAATTTGTAGTGTTTAAATTTGGGTTTTTGAGTGTAATGCTCCACTTTTGCTCCACAGATGTTTTGTAAATGTATTTACAGATGTATCATTTATACACAGCAGACTAACAATTATGCTGTATTTCCTTTTTCATGTGAAGTGTGTTGCTGAACTACCACAACAGACAAATTTAAAAGGTTTCACTGAATGATGCTTAATGCATTTAAAAACTTTATTTACAGTTAAAACGCACCAATCGTGTTGCAAAAAAAATGTGACAATCCACAGTAAACAGTACAAATTATTGCACCCAGTGCCCATGTTAATTTTTAGTCCAGTTTCAGACAAAAAGAAGAATTTTCATCAGTGACCGCTTCACTGTAATGCAGAACAATACAAGATTTAGGCCTGTTGGCACATGCAGAACAAAAAGTCAGTGCTCGAGCCAGTGTTAGTATCCAGGAAATCCAAAGCTCACAGAACGAGCTACATTTCGGCCCACAAGCTTCCTCTTAGCCTTGGGAAGGGACCCTGGTTGGCAGGACTGCTGCGGGGAGGTAGCAGCCAGTCTGGCCTCCTTCAGTTCTCTATTAAAGAAATAAATAAAATGTATTGCAATTACAATGTCTGCGAGCAGCAATGATTAGTACTGCTTTTTTCTCAGTCCTCAAAGATAGTATAATGTCATAACTTGCCTTTCCAGCATAGCTGTTCTGAATTTCTCCACATTTAGCTCTTTGCGAAGCTGTGTAGCAAGTTTTCCAGCTCTCTCCTTACATAGAACATCATGCCGACACAAAGCTGTTGCAGATGGCCTTGCAGTAGGATCAGGATCTAATAGTGACTATCAAGTACACAATAATCCATATGGTTGTCAATCGGGAGTCATATATTACTTCACTGTAAACAAACTCAAAAACGGCAGCACATTCATGAGAATTCTAAAGAAGAGGAACCAAAAACTAAAACTGAAACTACATTAACAGCATTGGACAGTTGATTTTATGCCCTCTGCTGGCAATCATGTTTTTGTTAGACGAGAAAACCATGTCATATACTTTGATACTTACATGAAATCAGATCTTCATGAATGTTATTGCTAAAACCTTTTAGAGGTTTCTATAGCAAGTAAACTAATGATTTGAAGAACTTCTTATAAGAAAAAAGTTCTCAAGAGACTAGTATAGACTAGGTAGGGTTGCAATAAACAATTATTTTATAAACTTGCTGAGTATTTTGAGTGGTTACACATGGCATCTCTTTCTTTTCTTTTCTTTTTTGTTTAGGGTCATGTAAATCTTACCCACACTTTTGCCTCATTTGCACACGAGATTTCTTTACACAATTTCTTTTATTAGACTACATCTGGAAACGGTTTTGTCCAACAGCACCTCACTGGTCAAACTGTATTATTGCAGGCCTGCACATTAAAGGGATAGTTAAACTAAAACTCGAAATTATCATTTACGCTCTCTCTTTATTTTCATATTATGAATGTCAATGGTTACAGGCTTCTACTATTCAAAATATCTTGTGTTTTACAGGGCAAAAGAAAACATTTGCTGAGTAAATGGCAGAATTTTCTTTTTGTGTGAACTATCCCTTTAAGTTGTAAGATGACTGAACAAAAACATTTGGAGTCACTATATTCAGTCAATATACAGCCATATAACAGGGAACTTAATAAATTACTCAAATATGCAGTTTATTAAAACAGTACCTTTAGAAGGTCTTTAAAGAGTGCTGGTAACTCATGTGGCAGGTTGGGTAGTTCTCCTTGCCTCAATCTGTGCCAATCATCCCCATTCTGGGGAAGTGGTGAAGCACCTGCAGCCAACAACACTGTCAGACCCAGCGCAAAAATATCTGCTTTAGGAAGATGCGTGTAGTCCTGTGAAAGAGAAAATTCACCTCATGAACCACTGGTCATGTCTAGAATTAGCATTAGCTTCTTTTAACATGCAGAAATACAAGCTTGACACTGACAGAGCTCAAACTGACCTCTCGCAGGACCTCATAAGCCAGAAAGCGACTGTCCCCTTCCTCTACCTGAGGGCTTGAGATGGACGTTACATGACCCAGGTCACCTAAATAATAAGATAAAGATAAAATTTAATTGAAAGTTGTTACTGTTTTTACCAATAATATAGCCATGGAGATCAAAAACAAAAATGTCAATGTAAATTTTGTAATAAATAAAAATAAATAATAATAAATATAAAAATAAGTTAAATAAAATAAAATACATAAAACACAAATAAATCAATAAAAATAAAAAATATATTAAAAAAAATAAAATAAAAAAAATTAATTCAAACAAAACAAAATTGCTAGACTTGTAACGTTAAATTTGTTTGGCTGAAATATCAGCTAAAGAATAAAACTCTTTTTCACACAAAACTAGTAGCTAGTCATGTCACTGTCAATTGCCATTGTTATTTTGGATGTCAAGTTATCGCATAATTCTACAGAGTGAATGTGCAAATATGCAGGCATGAACCATTTCCAAATTCCAAATCAGCCTTTAAAATCTTCAACTCAAATTGTTCTAAAAAGTTTGTGTTTTTAGGCGTTTGAAATGTGGTTATGGTGTGAATGAATGACAAAAATGCTTCAAGTAGGTGTTGTGTTTTTAGTTAAAAATCATGTCAGGTAAATGCCCCCTGTTTTGAGTTTCAGCTTTTTCTTATTGACTACAATTTATTTGGGTTTCAAAAAATACACTTAATTTTATCAATATGAATAAAAAGGCAAATAGAAAGTCACCAATTTTATATACAACTCCAGAAGAGTGGCTTTCATCCTCTTCTTCACTATCTCCCTCTCCACCAGCACTCAAGGTGGATCGACGACAGATGAAAATATTACCTGAAAGGAACGGAAATTCATTGAACTTTAGGTGCATGTGGAAAAAAAGCAAAGGAGAAACAGTTAAAGTTGTACAAAGCTTACTCGGTTTGATGTCAAGATGCACCAGGCCTGAGTTGTGGATGTACTTGAGCCCCATGGAGACCTGTAGGAGCAGATCCCTGAGCTCGGGAACGCTGAAGAACTCCCCTTGCTCTCTCTTTTCAGTTATAGCATCATGAAGGCTGCCACCTATAGTACAAAAATCACCCAAGAAAATACCCCAAGTCTAATAAACAAAAACATGACCATCCTCGTAGTTTCATGACAATCCCTTCCTACCATCACAGTACTCATTCTGTATAATCATATGGTCATCTTCAGCCCATGCAGAGTAGTATCGGACAACATGAGGGTGATGGCCCAACACAGCATGGGCGTACACTTCCTTCAAGGCAAGCTGCCTGAAAAAAAAAAAAAAAAGTTACATTTGAGATCAATTATTTATCAAGGAAGCACAAAATTCCTAGCCATAAACAGCTGTTCTTTGAAATAAGTGTTTTAAAAAAATGGACCTTTTTCACAAACTGGCAGCATAATGTGTGCAACATTGGAAAAAAAAATAATAAAAAGAGCTTAAGAAACAACAGACTTAACACACAAAACTTGTTTTGAGTACATTTTATATTTAAGAAAATTTAGTATATGTATTTAGTCTTCTCAGAGGGCAAGTAAACAAGTATAGACATTTTAAATGTACTGTGGTCATTAACATGTCCTGCTTGTTATCAAACTATTTCATAACTGTAAGAAGAGGCAATTCAATCACAACTTAATGTTAAAACGGCTATCATAACATTATCAATACGCGGCTTTTTTGGATTCTCAAAAGCTACAGAAATTAAAGATGTAAAACAGGAAGTTTGTTTTTGTTTACATTCCTCAAAATGGTCTATTGATTACATTATTTGCAGTATTTAGAGGAAAGATTGTGGGTGCACCTGCAGGGACTCTGATTAGTGGAATTTTTGTACAGAATATAGAGTCATAGTTTCTATGGCAAAACAAAGCAAAAAGATGGGTTCAACAACACCATATACAAAAAAATCAACAACCTGTCCACACAAGTAATCTGACTTTAGGAGATCACTATTATTCTTACCCATTAAGTTTTTTTTTAACCATCATTTACAAATTTCACTTGTAAAAATCCTGTAAGTGTGAAAAAGGTCCATTTAGGGAAAATTAGAATTTTAAGTGGCTGGCAGTGCTGACTCACTCATTAGCGGAGCCTGCGATTGGCCTGCGAGAGCGCTTGATGGCGTACATGCAACCATCCAACCTCTTCACACATCGATACACGGAACCAAACTCGCCCACGCCAATGCAGGCCAGCTCTAGAAACTCACTCTCGTAACGCGACAGCATGCGGGCTGACACTGCTGGCCTCTGAAGGCCAACAGATGGGAGACGTTGCAAGAGAACACAGAGATTTGCCAAAGCTTTTGTGGGATTATGAAGCCTTACAAAAATACTACATAGAAATACAAGATAGAACAATGACGTACCTTCGAGGGGAGGAAGAAACTTTCATCCTCGGATGAATTCTGAATTTCTTTAGATCTGTTGAAATAAAAGCACCTCAATGTCAATTTAGTAACACAACGGGCATCGCTGAGATGAAAGACAAGTGTTACCTTGGTCCATAGTCCTCATCATCATCACTCCTTTGACTCTTTCTCTTGTAGTGTTCACTGTTTCTGCGCACGGTGTCTGGTGTAAAAGGATTAATGTTCACTGAAGGAACTCGTTCAAATGCAGTAGACAGGCGTAGGAATCGCTGACTGCGACACGTTTTGCTGCTAGAGCAAGGCATCGTTGATTTAGACAGCAAACTCTGTGGGTGGAGGAAGTAAACAACTCTTTGTAAGGTCAAATTTATTGATACTACAAAACCATACACCAGACGGTCACCACATCAAGGTTTACATGAAACCAAAGCACAACCAAGATTACTTTTGGTGTGCTGGGCGAGTCACAAAGTCGAAGCTTTTTCCAGGCAGCATATGGTATGGGAGAGGTAGGGACTGAAGGAGAAACTGTGATGCTTCTGTTACGGTGTCGTTGTATCCGGGGTGTCCGGCAGGGGCTTCTAAGGGGGACACTCTTGTGTGTCCATTCATCAAAACTATTGTCACTGCTGTCCTCCTCCCAGCTGCTGGAGAAGTTCAGATGCTGCTGCGTTGCATTCACAGAGGCCATTTCAGACCACTGCAGTCAGAGGAGAAAAAGATCATATTTTAGGATAGAGGTGACAGATGACCAATATCATTTGTATGGTATAAGTATTATAAAAACAGCCATCCAGATGTTTTAAAAAAAATATGAACTTAAAATTTACAACCAGACACAAAGTCCATCACAAGCTTGATACCTCGGTATCTCAAAAATGTCTATTGTGCATGCTACACCAAAATAGATAGATATATATTGAAGTCACCTTCATAATCTACTGCTTTGAATGAAACTCAGTTCCAGCTTACCGTGAGATGAGCTCACATGCCACCACGCTAAAAAAAATGGCGCGTCAGCGTTAATGAGGTCCTTTAACAATGGGCGGAAATGCTCGTCCCATAATTAACCGCAAACTAGTAACGTATTTTGATTCCGGTCACTTTAAACATTTGTTCGGAGATTGTTTCGGAGCCATACACTGAATTATTCATTATCATTATACAAGGAATGCGTGATAGTCACAGTCATCACATACTGTATATTAATGTTACCTTTATTAAAATTTAGTTCCTCGGAAGTGACAATATGCGTTCATCAGTCAACCAATGAAATACGCTTCTCAACGCTCAATCAAATGCTACTGGTTCGTGCAGTAGTCAAGGCAAGTAAAGTAGTTTCCGATTGGGATGAACAACTTTGCAGACTATTTATTTAGCAATTTTATTTTTATTTTTAATTAAACAAAAAATCAATAAAAACATAAATGACAAATGTACATATTTAAAAATATAAACTGGTAACGTTTAGCAACTTAAATATTTTTTAAAAGTTCAAAATAAAGAGATAGACAGAAAGACAGACAGACAGACAGATAGATAGATAGATAGATAGATAGATAGATAGATAGATAGATAGATAGATAGATGTGGTTTCTAAACAATTGCAATATGACTTCTGATGAACGTTTATAGTCGTCAGAGTCATCAGCATATTTATTTTAGGGAACAGCGCACACAGACAACATCACACTATTTATTTTTCGGGCGGGAGGAGGTTGATCGCAATAAAAACCTTTAGCACCACGTGAGCGGAAGTGTGTGACATCATCAAAACAGTGTCGACAGCGTACGCCTGGGCAGCGTCTGTTCAGCTGTCTGGATTTACTACATTTCAGGACCGTTTGAATCGCAAGCGCTATGTTCCGTTTCACGCGTCGCGTTTGTGGCTCAGACTGACTGCTCATCACCGAGCGTTACTTTGTTTATTTCCACCTTTATCAGTATCGATAAACAAGAGTATGGTTGAGCAGTCGGATCGCGCTCCGCTGCTGGACTGGGAGGAGATCCCCCCGGCCGAACTTGCTCCATCGGTTCCATCACCGGACACTGGCGATTCATTACAGTCCGGGCTATCAAGTTACCCAACTGAGGCCACATTAGGGGCAGATATCACCTTGAACACGAGCCCGACGAGACCGAGCAGTGTAGCAGCTGTTCATTCTCCTCATAAACAGCACAGCGGCCCGGGAGGAGATGCTCTAGCTGAGGAGGATGAGCCGGGAGACTGCGCCTTCCACGGGCTCTCGGTCAGGGACCGCAGGATTACTGGATGGGAAGAGAAAGATCAAATCGTTGCTGTGTTTGTGGTCACTTTCGACACAAGATCGGGTAAGGGTAATTGTAAAGTGTGAAGTAAAATGTCAATTGAGTTATTGAGGTAATGTGGCAGCCGCAAATAAGGATGCTATAACATGCCAAAAGCCAGCCTGCTGAAAGGGGTGGTTATTTTTTCTTCAAAAGTCGTCCTTTTTGCAGTTATTCGCCTCATTTTCTAATTATGAGATTAAATACTTCATTTTTGTGACATTTTAAGCACTATTTTTAGCTGTATTATCTTGTCAGATGGTCATCAAAACATCAATACCAAAAATATTTCCTAAAGATTTGGAATAAAGAAACATAAAAATATTTATTTTTATCATCCAAATTTATTACATAAATTATCATTTGAAAAAAAAAGCAATCTGTAAAAGTTTTACATTAAAAACTGGAGCCTATTGTCATTTATTAGGCAAATAACAAAGTAGCCAGCACATTTAACTTTCCTTCAGTCACAATTTGGCTACTTTAATAAAATATAATTAAAACATAATAATAATAATAATAATAATAATACATGTAGAGCTTCACAATTTTCTAGCCTCTCTTGTAAAAAAAAAGTACATTTGAAAATTCATGGACAACAACAATAGCCAAAATAGTATTCAAATCTATTTTATTATGGACCGCTTTTAGTGCTTCATGCCTTTTTATTGGTCATTTTATGTTTCAAGAATAAGGTCCAAGATGAAGAATAAAAGTTACTTGCAAAATGTTTTCTCTATTAAAAAAACAATACAGTAGCGAAAAATGTCTTCACTTACGTCAAAATGTATGTTTTCTTGCACAGCTGAATGTTGGACTCATAAAAAATATTTGTTGGCATTGGCCAAAAACTGATTAGCTGAAGTCACACTGAAGCAACAGCCAACGGAGGATTCCACATGGTCTTAAAGCCTTTTTTGATGGGTTATTTTACTATTTTTGATGGCATAGCAGTCAGACAAATAAGCTTACGGATGGAACAAATTCTGGACCTTTGTCAGTGGGGTGGGTCTTCCGAACCCTCCCCCCCCCCTTCCCCCCCCCCTTCCCCCCCCTGGCTACGGGCCTGTATAAGACGTATCTGTTTTTTTATTTCTTACAGATGTGACTTTTGTGTGAAAACCTGTTTAAAGCTAAATTTGTAATCTGTTGATTTGTATAACATCAGCAGAATGGCTTCATATACTAATACTAGTCCTGTATAATGTTTCCACAGCATGACAAAAAAAGAAAAATGGGTAACTGTGACTTTATACGTCTCATTATGTTTTTCTTCTCTCAAACCACAGAGGAAAAGTCTGAGTTTCATGATTTGAGTCCACAATTTTGAGTTATTTTACAGCTTGGAAAAAATTCTAGTTGTAAAATTGAATTCCCTCAGAATCACAAGAAATAAACAAAAATAATTTAATATAAAGAGTAAAATAAAATATAATATACAAATATTATATACTTTTTATATTAATTTTAGTATTTTTCATTTATTCATTGATCTTAAATTCAGCTCTTTATTTATTTTTTATTTTGAGTTTTCAAAAGAAAATGCATATATAACTTATTTAATCTCTCATACAGAAAGAGACTTACAGATCTTATGTTTTCTTCCCTTTACCTCTACCAACAACAACAACTATAAACAGTAAAACATAGAGAGTTACAAATCCTTTAGAATATATCCTTTAAAGAAAAAAATATATATATTTAGACACATATAATTACATTTAAAAGTTACAATTCAAGTAAAATCCAGGCTTATTGGTAAAATATACTCAATCTATTTACTCCAAATTAGAAAAAAATATTCAGTCTGTGTTCTTAATGAAAAAGATAATTTTCCCATGACATATATAGTGTGCATTGTATCAATCCATTCTTCAACTGTTAATGACTTTAATTTTACCCATTTCTTTTGTAAATACTTTTTCACTAGCTGCCAGAGGAATAAATAACAGTTTCCTGTCTTTATTAATGCATCCATCTAAATTTATATTAATTCAGTTCTTTAAATTCAGAAACTGAAAACATGCTAATCATACAAGTGCTACAACTGCATTTACTTTTATTTATGTGCGTGACATAAGAGTTTCGTCACATGTAATAACACATGCAAGTAAATGAATGGAGAATAAAGTGAGAGTATTATAAGTCATCCAGCTACTGTACTGCTTTTAACACACTTCCTCTATTACTCACACAGCTGAGAAAAGCTTTTAGAAAGTTTCTGTGTTCTTATGCAAACAGTATTATTCAACCAGGGCCAATGGCTTTATAGTTGTTTACTAAGTCCCACGCTGTGTTTTTTTTTTGTTATTTACAGGGAACATGATAGAATGGTGCCTACCTCATGATGTCAACCTGGAAGGAGTAGAGTTCAAGTCTATGGCCAGCGGCTCCCATCGGATCTCAAGTGACTTCATGTAAGAGTCACATTTATAAATAAATTCCATTTCATTCAAAAAAGGCTGAGCCAGGCCCGGCGCCAGGATATCAGAACTGAGGGGGCATTTTAAATCCACTAGACCTGGAGGCTGATTTTGGTCTCTCTTGTTCCTTTCATTTAGGCTATTTATTCACATTTATTATTACTTTACTTTGTTACTGACCTAAGGCAGTAATATATACGTTTTAATAGTAATAATAACAGTTTCGCTATTACTGATTTTATTAATGATGGTAATGCAACGATACCGCTTATTAATGCAGACGGATCATGGCTTTAGTGCCAAACGAGTGCTTTAAATCATATGTTATTCTCCTTTTTATTTCCGTTTTATTTCAAATAACAGGCATATGAACGTTTAAAGTTTTAGGTAAAGACGTCAAATTATGCCCACACATGCAAGCTGACCTAAGATCAGACTATTCGTATAACCGGTAAATAAATATAAAGAAATCAGCTTAACCGAGTCATCACACTTCACGTAGCCTATTACCCAACAAACATCAGTGTTAGGGAAAAGCTAAATGTTACAATCTAATGTCATTCAAAACAATTACTTAGTTACATTTTAAGGCATTAGTGTAGACAGAAAAATACCTGAAAAGATACCAAAATTCACATGTTATTACCGTGAAAATTTGTTTGGCACAGATAACACGCAGCTCAGGCTATAACTTTTTTAATAATTTTAAATGTAAAAAAATAAAGATTTATCTTAGGCTATCATAAATGTGTTTTTTCGTGATATTGTCTGGTTGTCATCTGTAAATCATCATAAACCACTAGGTTACTAGGCCTACCCGTCATTTTATTTATTTATTAAGCCTATTTTAATAACTTGTTTTCAGGTTATTTTCATTTTAGGGCCATGAGCTACAAGTCAAAACAATTGCGATATGCTGACTGTATTTTAGCTCTTAAAATAGATCTACAATATATTTTATGTTGTTTAATTTTGCATGAGCAAATAGCAGTATAGCCTAAATTACATATTTTTAAAAGATTATTATTCAGCCTACCTGCAGCATGTGAGAAGTTTCTCGGTTGATCCGCGGTAAATCCACTTAAGCACTATATTCCATTTATAACACTGCAAACTTGACTTCGCAGGCCGATCATCTTTAAACGCAAAAGGCATTTATTAAGTGTTATACCTTGACTGCTGCTGCATAATGGGATATTTCTCTACACAACTGTAAAAGTGCGCTTTTTAGCAATGTCAAAATGAAAGCAAACATTCAAAAGGGTTCTGCGTTTTGTCAATTTTAGCTTAATTGTAATCATATTAATAACAATATTAATTAATAAATTAAAATATTATTTATAGTGTAGCCTACTGCGGGAAAACACTGCCTACTGTTTTTATTAAAACATTTTTATTAGGCTGCATCTTCCCGAATAACTAATGTGAAAATGGCACTTGCGTCTCTGCTAAAATTAATTTAACAGCAAATTTCTTCTGCCTTTCTTCCTTTTAGAGCTCAAGAGAGTTGTGTTTAAAGAATTAGCTAACCAAAACATGTAATTAATTAAGCTGCTCCTATCATGTCACCCACTTTTCTCCCGTGTGAGTTGAGTGCGCCTCCATCGCCGTGTGCGCGTTTATTTAGGCACCTGACCTGACGCGGGGACCGGATCTCTGAACTATAGGACTAGCTTTAATCTCACAATTTTCGTAATTTAATTGCTATGTCATATATTTTAAAATATTTAAACGTGTGTTCTAAAGGTTGGAACGCAGGAGTGTTAGTAATTAATGACTGAAAGAATTTTCAGTTTTGAGTGAACAATCCTTTATGAAAACTTGGGGGGGGGGGGGGGGGGGGGGGGGCACAAATTCTTTCTGAGGGAGCATTATATATATATATATATATATATATATATATATATATGTATATGTTATAAAAAAACTGAGGCTACTTCGTTTCTCTGTATCGGGCATTTAAAAAAAAAAACACTGTATGGTGTTTATCTGTCATTATGTTACATTTTAATTAGCAACCTGTTAATGCACTACATCAGGGGTGTCCAAACTTTTTTAAACGAAGGGCCAAAATCCAAATATCATTAAGAGCTGTGGGCCGAAGGTAATAAATATACCAAACTATATTACATCAAATTTACCATGTGTCATTTCCTAATTCATTTAATAATATTTCAATATAAATAGAAAACATAACTTTAAATCGTATTAACTAGTAAAGTATAACTTTTTAAATTGTAACTTATTGAAATAAAAACGTAAACATTCACATTTCTAACGCACACTGTAAAAAAGTTGACTCAGCTTCAAATTATAAGGCAACAAACTTCAGGACATTTTTTTAGTTTACTCAACTTAAATCGAATCAAGTGCAGTAATTGGGTTGAAAGTTGAGTCAACTCAAAAATGTTGCTTTAAAATGTTATGTTGAGTCAACTTTTGTTACAGTGGAGTGGAGTTCAATGCTGAATACACTAGTCAAGCAGAATCTGCCTTTGACTTGATTTGCTCTCCAAAGTCTTCATTGTCAGGTGACAGTATGTACATTTAAACTAAATCTGAATAATTTACACCATTTCATTGAAACATTTAATTTCAGTTAGCTTTAAACAATAAAACAAACAAAGGGTTACATTAAATTTGAATTGAAAATCTCGAAAGGATTCCCATCATTCTCCCTCTCTTTTTAGATGGGATGGCGGGCCTCATCAAAGGTTACAATGGGCCAACTTTGGCCCCTGAGCCCTAGTTCGGGCATCTCTGCACTACATGTTCTGAATTCTGTGTTACATAAAATTTGTTTTTGATGGGTTTGTCACATTTATTATCTTATCATGCCATCATGAGGTAAAACTGCTTGATTAGTGATTGGTTACACATCTTTGTGCATATAGCTATATCAAGAGATCAGTTCATATTTAGCATGCTCGTCTCTTTTTGTAGATATTTCCGCAAAGGCTGTTACTTTGGACTAGCGTGCTTTGCTAACATGCCTGTGGAGAGTGAGCTGGAACGTGGAGCGAGGATGAAATCTGTCGGGATCTTGTCTCCTTCATACACATTGTTATACCGTTATATGCACTTCTTAGAAAACCAAGTCCGGTGAGAGTCTTTTGTCAAGTCTCCTCTTTGCACGCATGGTTTCTATTTTAAGATGTCGTTAAGTATTAAACATAAGACCTGAGCTGCATGTGATTTATTTATTGTTTTATGTTGACTTAAGTTCATCTCTTATTCAGTTAATGTAATAATGTGAAGCATGCCAAAATTGTAATTTGTAAAAATGCGTCATGATTAATTGTGCTCAAAATGTTTGTTGTGTAATGTCTGCCTCTAAATAAAGCAACTTCCTGTTTGGTGCAACACACTGTTTAAAAACATTACTTGTTTTCTGCCTGTGTATTTCGACAGGCACCAGTTGCAGTGTCCAGGCCAATACTCTCCACTGGAGGCTTTTTATGAGGATAAAAAGGCAGTGTTGCCTTCGGGAGGAAATGGTTTGGTCACAGCTTGCCCAACCAGTGCTCTTGCACCCATAGTCAACCGCTGCATGCATCCAGAGATGAAGGTTTGAAGTTAAACATATTAAATGGTGAAGCAGTCCGATTTCAGAAGTACTAAATCTATTCATTTTCTCCATAGGGAAATAGATTTTTTTAAACAATAACTGATAAAACTTTAAAAAGAGATCTGTTGTGTGGTTATTCATGCTTTTTTAAAATGGAGTTAACTTGTTAACAAAGGTTCAGTGGCGGAGCCATGCCTCACTTTGCCTCCTTAACCAATCACCTACTCCTTTAAACTAATTTAAGGAAGACCATCGCTCTAGCACTGTTCTTCTCATTCTTTAAACCTACCCTCCCTCCCTCCCTCCATTTCCACGATTTTCCATTCACAATCCTATAACCCTCTTCACTCCTACATGTAGGTTGAATCGGGGGGTCCAATCACTCTCACGATTACAAAGACAGTACCCCCACTCTGAGTTTCTGAACAAAGTAGGATGCCCAATCAACCTACCCACTTGTTTACCAGTCATCCTCTTACTCCCCTTCCACTTCATCCCACTGTTCTCCTACCATCCCTTTCATCCCTACAGTAAAGTTTTAAGTTAAAGTGTGGCATGGGCCATGCTGGTGAACAATATATTCACACAATTTTTTAAACAATTACACTTAGGAGCTAGATTAGCACAGAAAAATGACATAACTCATGATTCTTAGTGGAAAATTCCATCAATTAGAGAACAGCAGTGTGCAAAACATCATTAGCCCCACAAACTCCCATGAAGCAATAAAAAAATCATCCAGATCTCTCTAAGTTCTTAAATTACTTAAATATTTGTATACACATTCATTTCGGAAATAGCATTGAAATGTATTGTTTTTACAACAATCATCTTTAAATTAATTTCCGTATTAAATCTGTAAGCCTTGTACCTTTGACTCTTTCTCCAAAGTTTGTAATTTATGATTCTCTTTTTAGATTGCTGGTTTGATTCAATTTGATGATTCATCAATTCATCAAATTTAACTTTTCTAAAAAAAATTGCCAATATTTTTGTTGTTGCTGTATTTCCTATGGGAAATTAATGGGAATAGAACTTCCAAACCAGACATTAAGGTTGTATGTCCACCGAAGCGTTTTTGCACTTACAAAAACTCTTATACTCTACTAGTTCGCTTGAGTGTGCGCATCAAATGTGACGTCGTCACTGTGTTTGCAAAGGTTCATTTTGGGTGAGCGCGACATGATTTCGGCTGGCGGAGCACACACATTTTTTTGAGCAAATAGTTTGCGCAGCGCCACGTTTCATTTAGAGTTAAATATGAAACACTTTGAAGAGACATCTATATGATCAGTCCATGCGTGATCATAGGGATAACCACAATAATTATTGGCTAGAAATTGCAAGAGCTTGGAAAAGAATGAAAGTTTTTGTAAAGGTTTGGAAAAACTTGTGGGAAAAGTTTGTTAAAACCAAAAGGAGAGGCCATGCCAAAAGTGGAGCCCCAGGTGGTTTTATTATTACAGAATGTTTTGAAGTAACAGATTATTTCTTTGATAACTGGAAAAGAATATTTGAATCGGTTTACAGTATGCTGATGCCCTAGTTTTAGGCTTTTTTTAGGCTTGGTGATAATGGTCTGAATTTTTGAATCATTATTGCCTTTTTAGATTATAAGTAGAGGACAAACTAGCCAGGCAGTAATGTGTCATTTGAGGAGTTGGCTAAATAAAAAAAATGAAAAACGTCAGTGTTTTTTAATAAGTTTACTTTATTTGGCTTTTATTCTTACGATAATAAAAATATATGTGTAGATCAACCCATGTTCTGTTGTCATTAATATTTAACTTTAATAGGTAGAACTGTCCGAGATATGAACAAAAGCAAGTGAAAGTTTGATTTAAAAAAAAACGTGAATGATTATAAAAATCTTTCTAATCATTAAAATAAATTCTAAAAAGTAATAATACAAATTTGTTTAAAAACCTTGAACGATATTAACGATATGACGTAGTATCCGTCTGACTTTACAGTGTTTTTTTTTTTTTTTTTTACTGTCCCCTGTCATTTTAAAGAATATCACAACGGTGAACTTGTCAAGTATAAAAGCCTCGTCCTCATCCATGAGGGCAGTGCAGTAAGGCATAGAGCCTGTGTTTTACGGTCAGCAATTTGCTTTTTTAAAAGCAGTTGGGGAAACAGGCATATTTAGAACAGTGCTCACGTTTCTACAGCACAAAAACACTTCCGTGGACATTTACTTTAATGCACTCTATTTTCTGTTGCACTATTTTCTGTTACTGATCAAAGCTCCTGTTTCTTGAAAAAGTTCTCCATTACTCATATTTTTACAGTAGTATTTGTAATAGATAATTCATATTTTACCCCTTTCAAACACATTTTTTTATTTTTTATAAATCTAAGCCAGGCCACTCTGAATTTGATGTTACTGATTATTCAGGATGATTTACTTCAGGTTTCTCCAGCAGCAGCATAAACATGAGAAAGTTCAGTTTCATGAAAACAGGAAAACCTATTATGAGAAAAATTTCTCTGTCTGCAAACCACAAGAACCTCCATTGTTAAAGAAGAATTTCACATATGCAGATACTGTTGTTGAAAAATATGCTGATGTGTACTTCAGCACAGAACTAGATTTGATTATGCTGTTTGTTAAATAAAGCCTTGTTCTGTCTTGAAGATAGACTTTTTAAATCTGTGTTTGATTTTCGTGATTATAGTTGGTTCAAAGATGTAAGAAGAACAAATTTATAACATATCAGTTATTTTTTTCTACATGGAAAGCATATTAAATACAATTTTGAAATAAAGTTGCAATCATTATTTAGTGTAACATATACAGCTTATAAGTACATATTATTAGTCCCTTGAATTATTAGCCCTTTTGTTTATTTTTTTCCCCAATTTCTGTTTAACGGAGAAATTTTTCCAACACATTTTATTAGTTTTAATAACTCATTTCTAACAATTGATTTCTTTTATCTGTCATGATGACAGTAAATAATATTTTACTACATATTTTTCAAGACACTTCTATACAGCTTAAAGTAGCATTTAAAGGCTTAACTAGGTTAACTAGGGTAACTAGGCAGGTTAGGGTAATTAGGCAAGCTATTGTATAACGATGGTTTGCTCTGTAGACTATCGAAAAAAATATTGCTTAAGGACGCTAATAATTTTGACCTTAAAATGAATTAAAAAATATTTAAAACTGCTTTTATTCTAGCTGAAATAAAACAATTAAGACTTAGAGAAAATATATTATCAGACATACTTTGAAAATGTCCTTGCTCTGTTAAAACATCATTTGTGAAATATTTAAAAAAGAAAAAAAAAATTCAAAGGGAGGCGAATAGTTCTGACTTCAACTGTATATGAAACAGCATAGCTATTCTGACATGTCTTCTTTAAATTATATACAAGATTAGTAATGTAAAATAACTTTAGATTTAAATTTAAAAATAAATATTGCTGAGAAATGGGTAAAAATTGGTTTGAAGAATAGTGGTAAAGTAAATATATCACATGTTATATTTTGGAGCTGGACTGTTATCCTTTAGTAGGATCTTTCAATACATCATCAAATGATGAATCTTCTAAATCTGCCTGACAAGATTTATTCAATTTAGTAAGTGTCTTCTGTAAATCATTTTAAAAATGTATGATATTCTTTAATTTTTTGTTCAGAACCGTTTTTGTTCAGAAAACCCCTTTGCCCCATTAACATTTCTTAAAATTTCAGGTAAATAAAAACAAATGTATAGCAAGTGCACAAAGTTATACAAGAACTAAAACAATTTAAATGTGGAATATTTCTTTAATAATTTACAAATAAATTTTATAAAATTGAAAACTGAAATTGCTCTTTGAACTATTTTTTTTAAATGACTCTTGGTAAAAAGGTTTAATTGCATTTGAAAATATTGGTCAATATTACATTTTATTATTTTCTAATATTTAAAATATTTCCCAGAGATGGGTTGCGGCTGGAAGGGCATCCGCTGCGTAAAAACTTGCTGGATAAGTTGGTGGTTCATTCCGCTGTGGCGACCGCGGATTTATAAAGGGACTAAGCCGACAAGAAAATGAATGAATGAATGAATGAATATTTAAAATAGTAATATAATTAATTCAAACTTATTTTATTATGTGAACTAAAAGCTTTCAAGTTTTTTTATATTCTCATATTAAACATGCTCGCTTGATTAATATGCAGTTTGTCTAAATGTGAGTCTCTTAATCAGAAATCTGAAGCAACTGATCATGCATAATCGCTTTTCTCATCTTTGTCCATCAGATCACACACCCGGCTGGCTGCATGTCCCAGTTCATCCGCTTCTTTGGAGAGCAGATTATGGTTCTTTGGAAGTTTGCTTTGCTCAGGAAACGCATCCTCATTTTCTCTCCTCCTCCCGTCGGTGTGGTCTGCTATCGGGGTGAGTGTGAAATCCACTTTTTATGCACATTGAAACATACATCAGCTGCCAAAATCCAGTAATAATGTACAATTACATTTATATTTCTGGGTGTGCTCATTGATTTATTTATAACTGTATATCAAATTGGAATGTTTTCAGAAAATAACTTAATATTATTTTTCTTTTTTTATGTTTGTGGCTCGTCTCTCTTAGTTTATTGTTGCTGCTGCCTTGCTAATGTGTCCATTCCTGGGATGGGTGTGTCTGTTCCGGAGTTTCGCCCCTTCTTCTACATCAATGTTGCTGACATCCCTGCTCTTGAGACTGAACTGTCTTATGTGGCCTGTAAGTGTCTCTACTTAGTGAAGTTGATTGCAAAATTCATAATTCTGAAGTCTAATGCTGTGTCCCGATTCGCAAACTTGTACTACACCCTAAAAGTATGCAAGCTTTGGAGCATACTACTTCCATAACGGTCTTTTAACAGATCGTTATGTTGCTTGGGTACATTGCCTGTCATTTCGACACTTTATCCACATTTCTTTCATATTTAATTACCTACCTTATTGGAGAAGCAGCAGGCTTATCTGGCATTCGAGAGTCTTTTATGCAGAGAAATCTACTTAAGTGTTAGAAAGTTAATATCCAAACATATCTTTATATAAGTTTAGTATTGTTGTTGCAGATGAAAATATGATTGAAATATTTTCCTGTTCGTGTAACGGAGGCCAGCTAGTGTGTGCTGTGCTGGTAAACCTCACTCCTCTGACCTCTAAAGGTGCTCTAGCGACAGATGCTAAGGGCCATGGTCTTTAGCCTTCTCGGTAGAGAACCTGACTCCCATGCGGAAGGTCGCCGGTTCGATACCAGCTCGGAGCGGGTTGGGTGGCGTAGGACCGGCTGGGTTACAATGGTGCCGTGACCCGGATGGGAGTAAGGTTTAGGGGGGTGAGTGTAACGGAGACCAGCTAGTGTGTGCGTGTGCTGTGCAGGTAAACCTCACTCCTCTGACCTCTAAAGGTGCTCTAGCGACAGATGCTAAAGGCCATTCTTAAGCCTCCTTGTTAGAGCAACCGACTCCCATGCGGAAGGTTGCCGTTTCGATACCAGCTCGGAGCGGGTTGTGTGGCGTAGGACCGGCAGGGTTACATTGGCTAGATATTAATTACTAGTAATTTAAACAACTTTAATGAAGCCTCTCTACTTGGCGGTTGGTCTTGTGTGTCTCTCATGTTTGCTGTTTATTTACACTTTTTTTACCCGCGTTTGTAGGTCTAATACAATTCTCATTCAACGCACAATGTATTGTGGGCTGTATTAGCAGTTTAATTATGGATGGTTCTACACTTATAATTTTTGGAGGAAATAGTAGACCATTTGGGAACCTTTGACATACTGATTTCAACTTACTATGGTTTAGGACATACTAATTCTATTTTCAAATACTATTTAGGATGGATAGTATGCGAATTGGGATGCAGCATGAGGCTACATTATTAACTGAAAAAAAGCCAAAATTGCAATATGTCTGTGCGTTTATCAAATCACTAACACTGATTTTTGTTAAGTTAATATTAATACATTCTTGCACCTGAACAAGTCATTATCTACTGGTGTTTCCATTGACATTCACAGTAAACATTTCTCTATTGGTCACAAACGCTGTGTCTGGATCGCTGCAGTGTTTCAACTCTAGAACCCAATCAGGGCAAAAAGTCTTTAAACCTTTAAAGGCTTTACAGTACATTTGAAAAGTTTTCATAGCGCTTCACTTTTTCCACATTTTTTATGTTGCAGCCTAATTCCAAAATGGATTAAATTCATTTATTTCCTCAAAATTGAAAAAACCACATGTACAGAAGTATTCACAGCCTTTGCTCAATACTTTGTTGATGCACCTTTGGCACCAATTACAGCCTTAAGTCTTTTTGAATATGATGCCACAAGCTTGACACACTTGTCTTTGGCAGTTTTTGCCCATTCTTATTTGCAGTACCTTTCAAGCTCTATCAGGTTGGATGGGAAGCGACGGTGTACATCCGTTTTCAGATTTCTCCAGAGATGTTCAATAGGATTTAGGTCTGGGCTCTGGCTGGGCCATTTAAGGGACATTCACAGAGTTGCTTTGAAGCCACTCCATTGATATTTTGGCGGTGTGCATTGGGTAATTGTCCTGCTGAAAGATGAACCGTCGCCCCAGTCTGAGGTCAAGAGCACTCTGAAGCAGGTTTTCATTCAGGATGTCTCTGTACATTGCTGCATTCATCTTTCCCTCTATCCTGACTAGTCTTCCAGTATCTGCTGCTGAAAAACATCCCCACAGCATGATGCTGCCACCACCATGCTTCACTGTAGGGATGTATTAGTCTGGTGATGAGCGGTGCCTGGTTTTTTTCAAATGTAACGCCTGACATTCATTCCAAAGAGTTCAGTTTTAGTCTCATCAGAACAGAGAATTTTGCTTTTTTATGGTCTGAAAGTCCTCCCGATGCCTTTTGGCAAATTCCAGGCAGGGGGCGGCTTCTGTCTGGCCATTATACCATGCAGGCCTGATTGGTGAATTGCTGCACAGATGGTTGTCCTCCTGTAAGGTTCTTCTCTCTCCACAGAAGAACGCTGGAGCTCAGACAGTGTGACCATTGGGTTATTGATCACCTCCCTGACTAGGGCCCTTCTCCCCTGATCACTCAGCTTAGATGGCCAACCAGCTCTAGGATGATTCCTGGTGGTTCCAAAAATCTTTCACTTATGGATGATGGAGGCCAATGTGCTCATTGGAACTTTCAAAGCAGCAAAAATGTTTCAGTAACCTTCCCCAGCCTTGTACCTCCAGACAGTCCTGTCTCGGAGGTCTACAGGCAATTCCTTTGTCTTTATGCTTGGTTTGTGCTTTGACATGCACTGTCAACCGTGGAACCTAATAAAGACAGGTGTATGCCTTTTCAAATTATGTCCAATCAACTGAATTTACCACAGGTGAACTCCAATAAAGCTGTTGAAACATCTCAAGAATGATCAGTGAAAACAGAAAGTACCTGAGCTCAATTTAGAGCTTCACGGCAAAGGCTGTGAATGCTCACGTACGTGAGATTTTTCATTTTTTTTTTGTTTTTAATAAAGTTGCAACAATTTCAAAAAATCTTTTTTTCTCATTGTCATTATGGGGTATTGTGTGTAGAATTTTGAATAAATAAATTAATTTAATCCATTTTAATCCAAGGCCGTAACATTAAAAAATATTAAAAAGTGAAGCGCTATGAATACTTTCTGGATGCACTGTAAATGCTTCAGATTTTTATTGCTTCAGCTGCAATGAAATTACTATATTTGGGATTGTATTTACACATGTGCTGTGGTTGTATGTTTGGATATACAGTTAAAGTCAGAATTATTAGCCCCACTGTATTATTAGAGCTGTATTTTCCCCCCAATTTCTGCTTAACAGAGAGAAGATTTCACATTTCTAATAATATTAGATTTAATAACTAATTTCTAATAACTGTTTAATTTTGTCTTTGGCATGATGACAGTAAATAATGTTTTACCAGATATTTTTCAAGACACTGCACAGCTTAAAGTGACATTTAAAGGCTTAACTAGGTTAATTAGGTTAACTAGGCAGGTTAGGGTAATTAGGCAAGTTATTGTATAATGATTGTTTGTTCTGTAGACAAAAAAAAAAATTTAGCTTAAAGGGGCTAATAATTTTGTCCCAAAAATGGTGTTAAAAAAATAATAACTGCTTTTATTCTAGCAGAAATAAAACAAATAAGACTTTCTCCAGAAGAAAAAATATTATCAGACATAGCACAAGTACACTATGTTTGGTTTAAAGATTAACAAAGAAGAAGCATTAGGAGTCCCTGCAGTTTTCAGTCCAAATAAATGTAGACAATTCCTTTTTGAAAATTAACATATTAAAACAGAGATTTTATCATTTTACAGTCATAATATAAAATAAAAAATGATCTTTTTCTTAAATACTGTTTTATTTTACAGTGAAAATAAAATATAAATGTATGTTTATCAAAAATGTAACTGTAGGTTATTCAAAATGTAACTGTGTATGTAAGATGGCATTTTGAGGTTTTCTTTTGTGTTCTCAGGTACCACAGAGAAGATCTTTGAGGAAAAGAAGGAGCTGTATGATGTGTACATTGACAATCAGAACGTGAAGACGCACAGAGAGAGTCTCCAGCCTCTGCTTCGACTCAACAGTGCAGACAGAGAGAAGTATCGCAAGCTCTGTGAGCAAAGGTACCAACATCTGAACCTCTTATGAGAAAGAAAAAACAATAAAAGTATGTATTTCCACAGGCATATGATCATATCAATGGGTTTCAGGCAGTTGCTGCTGTACTCTCAGGAGGTGGATGGAGATTGCACATCCAATGAGGAAGACCTCTTCATTCTGTGAGTGATGAATTAGGATCCTAAATGTAAATGTAAATGTACACACCTGAGCACAGATTATTATAACAGCAGGGAAGTGAAGTGAGCACCTATTAGCACCCTGTGACATTTTCCATACTATTTTCTATATTCTTCCTTGTCATTTGTTTGATATTTGTGAAATCCAAACTAGATTATCTTCAGTTTAGACAAAACGTTAATCAATAACAAATAATATGAATAAAACAAAGAGCTTACCAAAATGGTTGTAGGGTGGGGCTTAGAAATGCTGCTTTAGAGTTTTCAGACCCAACTTGATGGACAAAACAATGACTGCATTTCAGCATAATGTCATCTTCTAGTGGTCATTTCATATTTTGTAGTACAGTGGTCCCTTGTTTATTTGGGGAGTTGCATTTTAAAAATAACTTGTGATAGGCAAAATCCCCGAAGTAGACCGCTTTATTTTTCACAAATATTATAGAGGTTTTAAGGCTGTAAAACCCCTCACTACACATTATCCAATTTCAGTTAGGCATTAACATTTTCACACTTCTCTTATTTAAACACTCAAAGTTCAAATTTGCGTAGAAAAATAAGTCCAGTATTCAGGGCTTGACTTTTATGATCACCAGCCACTGTGGCTAGTAGTTTTTCCAACATTACTAGCCACTCGCCATTTTCACTAGCCACAATTTTGTTGTTGGGAAAATATGTTTTATATGCATAAATTTGACTTTGGCAGGCTAAAATTACATGATTTAAGTTTTTTGTTTAGATATTTTTCATTGATTTTCAGTTTTTTAAATGGGAAAGAACAACAATACAAACCCCAAACCCATACCAATCCAACAGCGCTCAAATTAGCCAAAAATGAACAAATATACAATTGTACATGTAGGTTTAAATACAAACAAATAATAATAATAACAATAAGTAAAAATAAAAACAAATAAAATAAAAATAAACTAAAATAAATTTAATAAATAAATTTTACAAACATGTAACCATACATGCCATATGTACAGCAAATGATTTAAGGTTTTTGTTCTGTTTTTTTTTTTTTTTTTCAGTTGAATAAAATACTTCTTAAAAATAGGTTAAAAATCATTCTCGTGAACCCAATCTTGTGTCTCTTCACACCCTAAATAAGTATGTATTTTCACTCCAGGTTCTTCATGGAGCAGAACAACCGAATCTTCCAGACCCTGTCTGAGGTGGCGGTGAGTGCCGATCCAACCCTGACTGCTGAGCACGTGCGAGCCATGGGGCTGGATCCTCAAGGCGATCGCGGCTTCCTTGTGGACCTGCTGGAAATCTACGGCATCGACGTCATGCTGGTTATCGACAACCCCTGCTGCCCGTAAGACCCTCCGTCTCTGCCCCTCTCTCTGGAGTCCTGTTTTCTGTTCGGGCTTAAATTCACATCCTACTGATCACCTGCTTGTCTTTTCTTTCTTTTCTCTGGCTTGGCTTTCTCAGGAGCCACTCCTGACCCCTCTGGACCACACTGATACTGCCAACACCAACAACCCAAGTCCGTCTACAGGCTTTTTCGCGCAGCCAGTGGCGTCTTTCTGCTTCTCTGTCTATCTGTGTGCTTTGTATTCTACCAGCCATCTTGGATTTCTTCTCAACTCTGCCTAAGCTTGTTTCCAAACATGATCTCTGTGCCTCTTTATTCCTGCTTTTTCAATCTGTGGTCTTCAGTTGTGACTTTGTTTTTCTAGCCAGTGCTGTTTGGGGGAACTGATGTGATGTCCCCTATGGATATAAATCTGCTTGGACACCAGAGAATTGGAATAACGGTCCATCATTTCCTGGATCTACATGTTTTTTTTGTTTGTTTGCTGGGAACAACGGTTTAACGTCTGCTCTGAATGTCATATATTATGTATTTCTAAAAAGTTTGATGGTTGTTCATATTACACACTACTGTAACGGTGAGGATTTTCACAGTCTTCGCCACAACAATTCAATCATGTACATGTGAGAAGTCATTTCATTTGGGGAAGAACCTGGGCAAAGTCAAAAGTCAGTGTGTTATTTGTGATCTGTTGTGCATGGACTAATAGACACAAGTTTGGCTGCTGTAGTTTGACACGACATTTATTAATGTTCATGAATGGGAATGAACCACAATGTAGGAGGGTTTCAGTCATCCTTGTTTAACTCTTCAAATGTTAACTAATGAATGTGACTGACCTTTCAATGCTGTCTACACCTGTTCGAGATGTTTCTGTTATATTACACACACACACACACACACACACACTGAACAGGTATCACTGTACTAAAAACAAATTAAATGGAGCATAGAATGTGCATTTGTTTATCCCGGATAGGCCTATAATCATTGTCATCATTGGTATTGAATGTAAATTGTACATTTAATGCTCCGGTTGATGCACACAGACGCTGCATTCATCTTTCTGAAGAAATGAATGTGATTTCTGACTTTCTAATCGGTCAATGCTCATGGTTATTTTTTGTTGTGTATATATTTGGGTTTGTCATTTAAATGTGTTTGAGTTGATCATTGCTGGATGACAGCAGAAAGACTGAGCTGATTGACAGTGGTTGTGTTTATATGTTCGTTCTATAAAGCCTAACTGGATGTTTAATAATTCATTGAGCTGCATTAATAGAATAGAATATCTAAATGGAAAAGGATTTACCCATTCATTTTACTGTCAGTTTCACTGTCCATCTAATTTTCAACATGCCAACAAATGTGACATTCGACTTTTGGAATTGAGTGCAGGCACTCAGGCTTGATGGAGAAAAGTTATTTAAATCACCTAAATAAAATATTTAAATGAATAATAAATAATACTATTGCTTACAAACTAAATTTGATTAAATGTGAGTTTCGTTTTTACATTTCTAATAAATCAGAGAGAATTCTTCTGCATTATTATTATTCAGACCATCCTCTTGTAGGATGTGGTTTGGTTATGTTAAGAGTTTGATTGTGATTGAATGAAGAATGTATATGAAGCAGCCGTGTAACATAACTGTACAGGATGAATTGTCTGGTTTTGTGTATGTGTGATTTTCTTTTTTGCTTTTTGTCAGTTATTAAGTGTTACACAAGTCTTTGTCACAATAACAAGCTAAATGAATGTTGAGTTTTACTCTAATGGTATCACAAAGCACTAGTGTAATCCACACTACCTATACAGTAATACAAACTAACAGCATGTGTCTGTTGTTTTAAAGCCAGTGATTCCTATTCACTGCCATTTTGAATAAATGGTTCCTTTTCTACCATATGCTTTGTGGTGTAGTTCTGAGATAACAACACTCGCTTAAAGAAAAATCTTTTAGTGTGTGTGAAATCAAAAATTACAGTTTAGTTTGCTAGCACACATCGTTATTCTTTAGGTGAAAAAAAATCTGCGTGTAAATCCACTGAAAAAAAAAAATAGTTGGCTACACTCTTATCGTTAGTTTGCCATGAGCGAATGATGGAAATAAAGCCCCGCCCCCTTCTCAATAATCTCTTTCATTTGGAAGTACATCAAGCTGCTTTGAAACAATCTACATTGTAAAAGCGCTATACAAATAAAGGTGAATTGAATACATCAGTATACTGGAATGATGCCGCAGTTACACTAGAGTTTGTGCGTGCGAAATCTGTCGGACGGCGCTGCGAAAATGAGCTGGATTAAACAAGAAAAAAAGCGAGCAATTGGTCCATGTTTAAAATTTCCGTACAGAGGTCATGTTTTGATCTTCGGTTGGTCTCACGCAAACATGTGATGCAATTTCGCAGGTCAGAGTTCACCAAGCTTGAACTTTCCAATGCAGCAAACTGCAAAACTTGCCGCATGACCTTGTGTTTTCGGTCTGACGCATTCGCGTGCGTATGAATGGAAGTCTATGGGCAGAAAAGTGCAGTGTGACCGCAGCTTTAGTCTCAGCAACTTCTGGTTCACACTGACTGTAAAGATTCTTTCAAGGGAAGCCTTTAAATGAAATAAGCAAAATAAAAGCATGATAATGACTTTTATTATTGGTCCTCATCTGGTCAAACTTTTACAGCATAACTAGTTTGAGTTTCTTAAAGGGGCAGTTCACCCAAAAACAAATATTCTGACATCATTTTCTCAGCCAAATCTGAGTTTCTCTCTTTTTTGTTAACACACAAGAAATGACTACCAGCTTCCAACATTCTTTGAAGTATCTTCTTTTGTGTCCAACAGAAAAAGTAACACTTTTAACCCACTTGAAAGTAAGTAAATTGTCAGTATATTTTCCTTTTTTTAGTGAGAAATCTCTTCTAAAGGCATTTTTGCACTCTTCAAGGTAATATTAAGCTCTTTGAGGAAAACATTCACTTAAAGTAAACCAGAGTTTGTAAGAAAAGTTCAAAACAGGAAAACAACCTGTTCCATACTAAGTTGACACCATTTATAACATGTTTATAAGCGCATTCAACTATCTTTCCAAATTAAAATTTATTTCATTATATGTCTCATATCTCCTCATGTCATTCCAAAGACTTTTGTTCAACTTTAAACATTTTACATTTTTTATTTCCCCCAAAATAAATACAGTTATTTTATTCACATGTAGGCATCAGTAAAAAAAGAAGCTAAACGTGTTGGTGTGAAAAATGAATCTCAGTGGTTCTCATATGTCAAGCAAGCATCACTGAGCTTCTGTGATCAAATTTAAATGTTTTAAAGATGTTTGTTTATAGCTCGATGCTTGTTTTAATGAAACCCTAAATTTAAGGGTAATCTAATAAAGTGATCATGTCTCTTTAGCGCACATTAGATTTTATTTTAAAACTTGGAATCTCTCTGGCCATAATCAAATATGTTCAAGTTTTGGGTGAACAGACTCGATGCAGAAACAAATATCTTCATTTTTGAAGATAACTACATTTCTTATATGTTTGGAACAACATGAGTGTGAGTAAATGATGACAGAACTCATTACGTGTAAACTCATTTTTTCAAGTTCATAGTACACAAGTTGTCAAGTTACGCAATGAAGACGACTTCTTTTTTTGGGGTAGCTGATATGTTTTTTCCCTCTTGTACTTTTGGAAAATGAATCCACATTTTTATGTCATCACTGAGCTTCTGCAAGTTGCTCTCTGCGCTCTGCACTGCAAAAGAATCTCAGTTTTCTTGGCAGCAGTCGCACTTCGACAGACATTGCCTCATATTCCTGATTGTCAATGTCGTAAAAGCCAGCACCCTCCTGTGGATGGGAGAGGAAATGCAATATATATAAAAATACAGATTAAACTGATGCATTATTACACAAAAATCAATAAAAATATATTAAATAAACACACTTACCTCTGGGAGTTCAAGACGTGCAGCACTGGCTTCTATCTGTACAGCATTTTCTATGGGCTCCATGGGATCCACTGATTTATTAGTCCTGTATGACATGAATCAATATTAATCATCCACAATATTAATTAAATATCCACAAATCTATTCTTTAGATAGAGAGCTCTCTACTAATTAAAAAAGTGCCAAATTATGAGGGATGCACAGTATATTCACCATCCACTTTATTAGGTACGCCTTACTAGTACCAGGTTGAACCCCTTTTTGCCTTCAGAACTGCCTCAATCCTTTGTGATATCGAAGATTTTGGTCCATATTGACTTGATACCATCACGCAGTTGCTGCAGATTTCCATGTCAACCACCAGTCCACATCCCAAAGGTGCTCTATTGGGTTGAGTTCTGGTGACTGTGGATGCCATTTGAGTACAGTGAGATAATTGTCATGTTCAATAAACCAGTCTGAGATGATATATGCTTTATGACATGGCACATTATCCTGCTGGAAGTAGCCATAAGAAGATGAGTACACTGTAATCATAAAGGGACGGACATGGTCAGCAACAATACTCAGGTAGGCTTTGGTGTTGACATGATGCTTAATTGGCACCAATGGGCCCAAAGTGGGCCACGGAAATATCCCCCACACCATTACACCAACACCAGCCTGAACTGTTGATATAAGGCAGGATGAATCCTGGCTTTCATGTTGTTGATGCCAAATTCTGACCCCACCATCTGAATGTCACAGCAGAAACCAGGCAACGTTTATCCAATCTTCTATTGTATAATTTTGGTGAGCCTGTGTAAATTGTATCCTCAGTTTCATGTTCTTAGCTGACAGGAGTGGCACACGGTGTCATCTTCTGCTGCTGTAGCCCACTCGCATCAAGGTTGGATGTGTTGTGTGTTCAGAGATGCTCTTCTGCATACTTCGATTGTAACGAGTGGTTATTTAAGTTATTGTTGCCTCTCTATCAGCTTGAACCAGTCTGGCCATTCTCCTCTGACCTCTGGCATCAACAAGGCATTTGCACCCACAGAACTGCCGCT